TTGATTAAGCAGTGCTTCTCTTGAGTATGACACCGCGGTGTATTTCTGAAATCTAAAGTTTCCGAGTCTGACTCGAAGACTGGAGGCAGGACTGAAATAATTCCCAGGAGCTACGGTTGATGGTAAGTACTTGATGCTGCAGCTTTGATCTGAGAGCGCTCAACGCTCTCCTGATTTCATTAACATGATTCGACGCCCAGTATAACCAGATGTCATCAGGCATAAATAAGGACGATCCCAAATGCGCGCGGATAATAACATCAACTCTGGCTCACGCGGTTAAATGCTGCAAAGATAGGCGCCGAAATACAGCTTTATTAAGGAGCCACAGATTAATGCTCAACCGGGGTCAAATAATCCCTCCTCTTCTAGCCTGTCCTGCTCCGTCAGCAACACGTAATAATAAAATGCCTCCCGGCTCATGACACTCGTAAATCAAAGCTTTGCACTCTTGGGATGCGAAAGGGCGAAAGTGACGCCATGAAGAGGCTTCGTCTGAGGCTTCCCCCTGAATCACGTGGCCATTTGCTGAATCAGCCGACCATCGTGATCTCCGGTCTGAAGCGATCGAAATCCTTCGTTTCATCGATGGGAAGCGAATCACCCCAGGCTTTGACCCAACGACGAGCCCGTTGCCCTCTGATATGTGAGCTTGCCCATGAACACCTCCGTGTTGGTGCCCAAACACGGCACCTCTCCCGTACCAGACTAGACAACTGATGGTGTGGTGCTTGTGAGGCATCAGAAACCCAATCGTGGGGGTTTTGCCCGGTTTCAGCCCTGGGGTGGTTGAACTGAGGCTAATGCGAGTCATCCTGCTCAAAGCCTTCGGTGTGACTGCCGTTGGCTGAGGGGATATCACCGGAATCACACGAACTCCTGCTAAGGAATTTTCGCTTTGCTTTTTGCGTGCTTTGACTCCTCACTTTAATTGGGCGAGTTCGCATTCCTTTTTGTGAATTATTGCCCCAAGAGCCTCCCAAAGTTTAAAGGAGGCAGTGGCCCAAGAGGAGTTCAGTTTACTTCGCTCGGCGACTCAAATGTGAAACAAATTTGAATTCTGACTCATTTAGATGGACTCGGAACTAACGGAGATGATATGGTCTTGCACAGGACAGGTTCGGGAAAATAGGCGCAATGTATTTTCTCCCTCCTGATATTCATCTGTCGCTAAATCCCGAAAGCTACCGGAGCCTAAAGCACATGCATACGGGAGTCATTGTGGGAATTAACTGTTTCCGGTGAAAGAAGCCATGCAGTCGCGACATTTCTCGTCGAGCTGCGCAAGTGTCCCTACCCGGGATTTCCAATGAGGTGATTTTGGTTGAATGACGTGGCTGGTGCGGTGAGAGTTCTGCCCAGCGAAGAAAATGCTCCGGGCTTTCGGTACATGGATGTACGTTTTTCGCGTTCTCCGTACGGAGCGCCTCCTTTTCGATTCCAAGCCGGAAAGCGAACAAGGTCCGATCGAATAGAATCGTCCGTGCCACGTTCACAATGTGTAAACTGATAATTCGATAGTTAGTTAACTAACTAGTTACCCCATGAAAAGCTTAGGTAACTAATGTGTCGAGCCAAGGATCCTCACCCCATGCCGAGGCGAACTCCAGTATGAGGAGCAGTTCTTGGAGGGCATGACGGGTGGCAGATCACACTGGAGGTATTTATTTTTGGACAAAGTATCTCTTGCATCTAGGATCCACGCATAGATATCCCTGGGGAAATGACTTTGCGCTAATTTCAAAACAGTTACCCCAGAAATAGCAGCACACAACAGGAGAATAATATTGTGTATTCATGCATTACTTTGATCTTGCTTGATACCCCGCCTGACTTCTCAATAAATCTAATTGATTCCCTATACAGGTGCGGGACGACACTCAGACAGCGGTGGCTTGCTTCACTGCTTTAACTTGCATACATTTAAGTCAGCATCGCAATACGGAGTAGACGGACCGTGATCAGATGATGACATGTCTCCTTTTGCTGCTTCTTAAAGCTTGTTTCTGACATAAAACCATGTATGGCGCGGGCTTGTGCAGGATACCGGCATTGACAGGGAAAGTCACCTGAGAAATACGGTACCATTGGAGTACTTCCTAAATGCCGAAGGTACTTGACCGGTACATTCACATCTACGTTGGGGAGATACCTTCGCAGCAGCGTCGTCCACTAAAAGTCCAGCTGCGTCCGCAGTTGGGACTGGATGTCTTTACGAGCCTTTTCCGGAGTAGATGAATCGGCAATGTGGTTCATCTCAGCTCTGGCAAATGTCACATGGACAAGTCGAAGGCAAAAAGATGCTGTGGACAAGCTGGAGTTTAGGGACTGGTAACTGGAGTCCCGATAATATGGTTCATGCATGCACGTTCGCATTTCATCTCTGCCGCCACGGGCTGTACCAGCTTACACAGAATCTTAGTTGTGTCGCGGTGCTTAACGGGGTTGGTTCCGCACTGAGGTTTGATTACACCGGACATTCCGGGCAGCCTGCAGACGCCGAGAAGATAACAATCTACGGAGTACGTAGTTAGTCGGGTTTCCCGTCCGACGGAGAGCGCATAAGCTGTCATTTCTTTTCAAAACGTCAAGAGGTAACTGGGGCCTCATGTTTGCTTCAATCAAACACCGCTCGCGACCCAACGGAACAGGCCAATCATCGGCGCCGATATACTGACCCTTTCTACCCCTGCTGCATAAAACCATCACAATCCAGCCTGCAGTAATTATTATGTCATGTTCTTTTTGCGTAACCTACCGACCTACTTATGGTGCGCTTGGAGCTCAAAATTCAGAGTATTAACTATTATGTCCCACCTTTAGGGTGATTCCTGGGCTTAAGGCCATGCGCAATTCGCAAGAGAGCTGCCACTGTCCATCCCCTGTGAGGTCCCTCAAGTTTGATTTTTCCCCTTTTTTAGGTAAGCTTTTAATAATTCTTACCTTAATGACTGGTTTGTTCTGAAACTCTGCACATCGGTCAACAGCTTGTTCCCTTACACTACTTTTGTGCAACTCATTAACCGCAGGACACAAGACACAGCAAATCAACCTGTACAGAGGATGTAAGGCAGCAGGCATCTCTCCTGCCATGAAATGATATTGCGCGACCCTCTTTTTAATTTTATTACAAGGCCGCTCCTCGGCGAATTGCATATCCAAGAGCACACGATTCTTTTGTTTCGTCACATAAACCATAGTCTGTGCACTAAAATCAAAAATGGGAGCCCCAAGAATCGATGATTTGCTCCGGCTGTGCTCCGCGCACCTGGACGTTGAATATGATTGATAGGATATTCTCCACTATTAGAGTTGATCCAGGAAGGCAAACCGGCCCAGGGCGACCCGGCCCCCGACCCGAGTTGCCGTCCGTTGGATCCTCAATCTCGAGATTCGATCATATCAGAGAATGGTAAACGCATGTCAACAGCCTCACAAAAAAGAATTTCCCGAATAATGAGTTGATCGCCAATTCTGACTTGGTCGACGCACTATGAAACTGTTTCTTTCTTTCCAGTATCATTCACGGCAGTTCTTTGTCCCCCTTCATTGACAAGGAAAATAATCACTTGTCAGAGTCAAGCACTTCTTCTCGTGCTCTGCATCCAGACATGCTTCGTAACCTTACCTGGAGTTTCCTTTCTCCTCACCGCAAATCTGAATGTCCCTCAAATCATGTCGTCAACGTGCATATCTAGCGTCAAAAAATCCCAAGGAAAAAGAAGCCTGACAATGCATGAATTGTTCCTTGGAATGAGATTTCCCCAATTCTCCCCCCCCCCCCCCCCCAAACAAAAAAAAAAAAAAAAGAAGTGTGACGGATCGCAAAATGATTCAGAAAAAGAATTTGTCATTTGCTCATTTCCGGGGGACTTGTTATAATGCAGAGAGAAAAAGGTAAATACATAGGCTTTCCAAGTCATTGATGCCGCCAGGATGTATTTTGCATAAGGGGGTTGAATGGTGTTGAGTCTGGAGAATCAGAGATGTGTCTGGGGATTTATTATGTTCCTAGGTTTATGCTGGGATTGGGTCCAAGTGTTCCCTGATCAGAGAAGCTTGGGTACTAACCATGCAATGACCCAGTTAGACAGGTACAAAGTATGAGGTTACGTTATTTAACGAGTTCGTTGTCGAAAATTCTTGTAAGTGTCGGTGTGGCTTTTTCCTTTTTTTTTTTTTTTTCCTTTCAATCAATGCTCGCATGAAGAGAGGAAACGCCTCCAAGTTTCATTCCTGACACATGTCCCGGGTTTTCCACACCGCAGGAGATGCCAATTCTTCATTTTTTACTTGTTCGTAAGTGGATTAGGGAACGCACCCGGAGAAAGGATCTCCAGCCATAGTTAACTAGTTTCTCTGTGGAGTTCGACAACATTCAGAGAAGGTCATAAGTAGTGTAAGGTAAAGCCCCAAAACGGTATAACTAACTGCATCAATCCTAGCTTCGAACAGCGTAGTCGATCGGTTCCCTCGTTGATTACCAGGTTCAGATTGACAGATTCGCGTTAGCGCTTCCCATAACTCTTTCGTCCAAGGTGAGATTTCTAGTAGAGTTGACTTCAACTTATAGTTATCCTTGCTGAAGGTCGACTATGCACAGCCATTTTCATAAAGATCATGTCCGATCACCTGTGGCTGTCTATATTGGCGCATGCGATCTCAACCTGTTTCGATACCCAACGATGCCGATACGATCCCTGACTGAGACGACTGAGGCGTCTGGTGTTCGATAACTGTCAGCAACGCACAAGCTCACCCGAAAGCATTGGCTTCCCGTCCATCGGAACTCCTAAAACTAACCTACTCTAGTTAAGCTTATGCTGTGGGTTTCGACGCTCGTGACTCGTAACTTTAGGTGGCATCAGCGAAGAAATTTGGGGAATGTCGGTCTGACGTGACCAAACTGATCGAGTATCGCAGGATGGGGCCATGTTCATGCGAGCCTGGAAACCCTCTTTTTTCTTTTCTTTTCTTTTTTTTAATTATTATCATTTTTTATTATTATTATGTAGATGTGCATGAAGGGGATGACCGCTTTCGCAGATGGAATGTTTCGCTGCTCCTTGCTCTTTGCAAATGCTTGGATCGGAGAGAGCAAAATGCTATTATGCCTGCCCGCCTCGAAATCCTTGGAAGACCGTATATTGAGCCTCCCAGAGGAAAGTAAAAGCGCCTCCTTCGGAGGCCCCATCCGCCTATCCACATGCTTTGCTTTTTATAGTAACTTGCGCAGCGTTTTGTGTGAGTGGTGGATTTATGCCTGCCTCCAGTTCGTAGTCTGTTCTACTTGTTGGCCACCCATAGGGCTCGTTCCAACGCCTCGAAAATGCGCCTATTTAAGTACCATTTCTGCACCAGCCTGTAAGCATAAAACGGGGGATCATATGTGTTCGTCCCTCTGTCGGTATCTGCTCCTGCCTGCGTACTGCATTGACGCCCCGTCTGATCTCGCCCCAGTTTTGATTACGTCCTTGCCGAGCTCAGGCACAAAGTCCAAGGGATGCGTGTTTCAAGATACACTTTTCTTCAATCCTGATAGAAGCCTTTTCGACGTATTTGCAACAGTGCCGAGAAAACGAATTATTGCGCGTAGTTACGCACTCTCGGCCTGGCACAAAAAGGGACGGGAGCAAGAAGTAAAGCCCAAAACATAAGAATCCAAAAAAAAAGCAAGAAGACACTGGAGCCACAAATAAAATAAACCTCGCAGACGAAAATATAACGGTTTTGTGGTCAGTTTTTGAAATCTCGGTAACGTCCTAATCGCGAAACAGGCACTTCGAGTGGTCCGCACTTTTCCCGTCCATTTTCTTTTTCGCCGGCTATTGCTTGTCGGCCTTGACTTATCAAAGCCTGATAATAGCTTGCTGTATACATCAGTTTATTTATGAGGGTTTTTGCTTGAATTCGAAGAAAGGAAACGCGAAGCTCCGCTTGATTGTTCCAGTTTCTCCAACCCCACTCTTCACCCATTCACTCCTTATTAAAATACAATATTGTCTGTGCGTGTCATACCTCGTGGCATACCTGCTGCTGAATTTCTCCGTAGGGGGTCGAAATCTCAATTTCCTTTGCTGGGTTTCTAACCTTTGATCTTCTTTGATTCCCTTGCTTGTTATTTCAGGTGACACAGCCTCCAAGTCACAACTGGAAGCAGGATACGGCGTGTATCAAGATTTGTTTGGTCGAGGGAAAGGTGCCGTCCGCTCAAATAGTCGATCTTATTCGATCAGGAATTTCAAGGCCATCGATTGGTTGTCAGAGAAAAGGAGGCAAATAACAGCTGCAACAACAGGGTGCAGACACTTTGACCGACTATTTGTACCATCTAATTTTCCCTTCCTGTCGCTGCGTTGCCGGGTTTGGTTGACGGTCTAAGTCTTGTCAACCCACTTTGAAGGCCCTGATCGACGGTGCTACAACGCTCGTGAGACGGTCAAATCTGATTTTGCTTCGATTATTTTTCCAGATCTCTCGTTCCTCTCCGCAATCATTGAAAGTGGCACTTGATTGTCCCACAACGCAAACAGCACACGGTGACAAACCGGACGAGAGTCGTCTTCTCCGGCAAATCGAAGATCCCGTCAAACCGCTTCTGGAAAGCCGACTCAGCTTTAGGATTCTGCGAATAATCGGTGAGAGGAGGGTTTAGGCTGCAATAAAGTCAAATACTTTACCTGTGCCCAAGGCTCTCCGAGGGACCACGCGCAACCGCTTCATCTAAAGAGCGTCGAGACCATAGTCATCCCTGGAAAGTGGTGAGAGCAGCCCACGGAACGCCGGCTGACGACGCATTGCCTTATGGTCCTGCGCATCATTCCACGCTTTACCGCAGACACATTGGATATCTCACTGCTTTTGGGGTCTCATGATGAGGAAAAAGAGGCGACGAGCACAACCACGACGGCTGGGGGAGCAACCGCATCACCCAGGCCATCCGACTCAGAGTTAGGTACTCTCCCAAGACCATCGGTTTCGACGGCTTCGCCAGAAATTCCAGGAGCCCTGCTAGCGTCGCGACCCGGGTCTTCCGCTAAGAGACCATTACAGGATGCATCACCTCGAGGTCGTCCTGCCAAGAAGCAATCAAAGTGGTCGCCTGAAGAGAACGCATTAATACTTGAGCTTCGGGGAGGAGGAATGAAATGGGACGATATCAGTAAAAGAATTCCAGGAAGAAGCCCCATAAGTTGTCGGCTACATTATCAAAATTATCTTGAAAGGCGGTGCGAATGGGATGAAGACAGAAAGAACAGGCTAGCAAGACTTTATGAAAGGTAAGTGCCAAACCAGCAATCAAGGCCGGGGTCTTCGATTATTATGGCTAACATCCAAATGCAGATTCAAGGAGGAAATGTGGTCAAGGATAGCCGAAGAAATGGCTATACCTTGGAGAGCAGCAGAGGCCATGCACTGGCAACTTGGTGAAGCCGAGATGGCACAGCGAGCAGGAGTAACACCATTCTCATTTTCCGCCCCCCTAAGGCAGTCTTCGCCGAGAGCGCGTCGAAACACCCTCTCGAGACGAGACCGCTTAAGCACAAGCCAACTCCCATCGTTGGCGGAGCTCACTGCTGGAATCCCCGCATACACCTCACAAATGGTGGGTGAGCCTCATCCAGCGATGGCTTCTTCACTATTCCACCCCGAGCCAGGTCCGACGCAGATTCGAAGGGGATCAAGGCCCCGAGCACACAGACGATAAGACGATGGAAGCGGAAGGGTCTATTTACTTAGCATGTATGCATAGCGCGGGTTGGGGTCGCGGGAATCGGTATGGTAGATTCGCAAGGTCTGGGAACAGCATATTATGTAAACCTAATTTTGGTGTTTTTGTCTTTCTTGCTCTTTTCCCGAGTTCGGATTTAAATTAATTTTGCATTTCAGTTCATGGTCGATATAATCCTTGCTCAATGGAGAAATTGAATCCTAGCATATCCTTTTGCTCATCGAGGGAGTGGCGTGGCAATGGCCCACCAGTTATCCTTCTCGTAGCCGTGGTTCAGAACACGGCCACCAGCTGCGCATATGTCGTCTTCTAGCTCATTTGATCGGTAAAGATGGTAGTAGCGGAGAAACGTCTGAGTCGATTCAGCAGATTTGTCAGATCCTTTTCCCCTTCTCACCCAGGGAACCATGACGTCCTGTTCATCACCTGCATCCCAACCTCGCCGGCTGTTCTTTTGCTCGAGAGCCCAAACATATATGAGGGCCTTACCACCTTCAAAGCTGTCCTGAGGGGGTTTTAATGTATCAAGAATGGCCTCAACAGCCTTGACTCTGCGCTCACGGGTCGATAGATGGTGCACCACCGCAATTGAAATTGCAAAATCAAAGCATCCGTTCGGGTGGGGAAGACTTAAATTATCAGCTATTACAGTGGAATGCGGCTGATGCTTGCTCGCAATTTTTATTAAAGCCTCGGATCTGTTTGCACATTGTTAATTTAGACACAACTGAAATTGAAAATTCCCGTCCGCCTACCTATCTGAAGCTATTATAAAGATATTTGGGTTCACCGGCAGGTATTTACCATTACCGCAGCCAATATCAAGCCCAACGGAGCCGGGGGCCAATTCGGTCAGAAATCGCTCTACAATTGGCCAAGCCTAGAGAGTGAAGAGTCAGCCTAGAGGATCGAGCTCAACAAGTAAAAAGATGAATTTAACCTACCTTGTACCTCGTCGATGAAAAATGATGTGCAATTTCTTGGTAGACCCGATGAACATGTTCCTCTTCGTACATCTCCTCCTTCCCGTCAGTTGCCATGTTTGGCTTTGAAAGATCACCAAAGTTCTCCAGAAATCCTTGGTTTTAAAAAGTAGACAGGATCAATATACTGGGATCGACGGGGCAATGGCTGTCCCAAAGCGATCCACAAGCCCTTTCACCCTCTGTGCTCCGACGAACTGTGCCATGAGCTGCGCCGTCTAAAGCTGTTCGATGAATTAAGGTTTGGCTGCGGCGCCTGATTCTGTGGGGCACTCACGTGGTTGCGTGACTTGATTATGTAAGTGTATTACCCGCGCTTTATGGCCAGCGCGCAGTGCTCTGATGAAATCGTAGGTGAGCCAGAAAGCTGGGGCCAGCCTCGAATCGTTGAATATCAATTAAAATCCTTGCAGGGTACGGAGTACACAGTACCAAGTACCAAGTACAGGGTGCTCTATGCTGCGTGGCACGCGGCTAGTGGCTGTGCTGCCGCCGCAGGCGCAGGTTGTGGCTTATCGATAAGATGATGCACAGACCAGCGCTTAATTCTGTGATTCAAAACCCCGCCGCGCGTCTTCCTTCAACTGGCCGTCGGAGACCGTTTGATATTCTCGGAATTCGATTGTTTCCCGACACTGTTTTAGACAAAAGTGCCTGCACATATTTCCACGTCACTGCCCTGTTAATTAAGTTTATGCTGGCTCATTATTCAGGAGCCCATATTGAACACAATATCCCCATATATTTGCACACGAAACATCAAACGTCTGTGCTTCAAGATTAAGGAGCCACAATGGCTTTCCAGGCTACGCCAGCAGATGTTTCTGTCATTGTCACTGTTGCGGCTGATGCCTGTTCTGGAGACAACTGTGCTTCATTCGCGACTGAGCGTCGAATAACTCCAACATGGACAGTTTCGCTATTGAAAGCGAAACTGGAAACTATGTGCGGAATTCCACCTGGGTGTCAAAGATTGCGCTTAAAAGCTCCCGGACTTGAAGCCAGGTGGATAGATAACAACTCCCAGCTTGTTGGTGATTGGGGCCTCGCCAAAGGTTGCGAGATTGAGGTTAGTTGCTGCTTTATATACCGGGGTTTCCTTGCTTGGTCCGTTTTTATGTGACTCTCTCTCATTCCCTGTTTACCCGCAACGTGACCCCAAGTGATTCGAATACTTTCTATGGAAAATGCTGACAAGTATCTAGATCCATGATCTACGGCCACCAGCGGCCAGGCCAAACTATACGGATGTCTCATCAGTGGAAAAGTACACCCTCCCAACGTCTACCTACGAGTCACTTCCAAATACCGTTCTTTCCTGGAAGAAGGCGCAAAAGCTTGGCCGCTTCGATCCTAAGGCTTTAACTCCCGAAGAAGTCGCAAGAAACCAAGCGAACAAAGACGAAAGTGACATCAGAGAACGAGGTGAGCTCCTCTACGGATAGAATATCATACACGTAGGATTCCTTCTTATATGTCAAAAGGCATTGAACTCTCAAGACGTGCAATCGTACTTCCTTCTAGTCCACCACATATCAGGAGGGGCACTATCCGCTTCGTTGGTCCTGTCCCAACGATACCCTCTGGAGGCGCACAAGTGTCGCTAAACCCCGGGGACCCGGCGCCTCTGTGGGTTGGTATCGAATTCGATGAGCCCCTGGGTAAAAATAACGGTAGCGTCGGGGGTAAGAGCTATTTCACTTGTCCAGAGAAATGTGGAGTTTTTGTAAAACCTGAGAAAGTCGAAGTGGGGGACTTTCCGCCACTGGGTTTGGATCTAGATGAAGACATGGAGGAGATCTAACATCTCATTTCGATTCCTCTTTGGTTTCTTCTAGTGTCATAGATCTTCTGTGTGATTGGATCGTTGTCAAAATTGGAGATGCTTTGTCTCTGCCCCTCTTCCCTTCGTACATGACAAGATGGAAAACCGAGCGTAAAGACTTGTGATAGGGTTATAGACATGATTTCAAGCCCTTCTTTGAGAGGTCCGATACCAGTTGAATTTTGGATCCACAAAGTACTCCAGGCATACGACGCTTGGGTTAAGTTGGATGTGCAATGCTGTCCTTCAGGTTATCCAGTTAACCTCCTTACTTTCATCTCTCTCTGCTGAATCCTATCTTGAAACTATGCATAAACTGATCCAAACTGGAATAGGAGCGTATGAATAAAGTAAGGGGTACAGCATCAGATGAGGGTATGGGTTTTCCACATGGATAGAGGACCATGTAGCATTACTATAGACAAGAATAGGAGATGCCACTTATTAATTTGAACATGCCTCATGAGAAATTTATTAGTCCCTGTGTAGGAAACCAAGCCAAAAATCAGACAACTGCTGCTCTATACAGATTGAGGATGATTTCGTCTCCCTAGTTCCAGGATTAAGTTGTCTGATATCTTTCGCCGGGTGTACCGCCCCTATCTCTCACTAAGGGTTCTGTTTCGGTCTCCCTCTCTTTTTCTTCCCCTTTTTCTCTTTCTTTTCCTTCGCAACTGCCTGGATGTGCTCCTGCTCTTCCTGCGGTTGCTGGCCCTCTGCTTGCTCCGGTGATTGACCCTCTTCCTGTGGCTGCTGGGTCGGATCTGGGAGAGGCGGAGCTGGTGCACCCGTGTCGATATTTCCATCCGCATCAAGTGGTATGCAGCCCTGTGTGAAAAATATAGCCGCAGGTTTGTCATATTCATTTGCAAAACTATAATTATTCCCTGATGTCCAAGCTCAGTAAACGCACATGGCTTGGTTGAGGCAACATAATATTTGTGGGAAGACTCACCTCTTGGGACCTGGAAAACACACCCTTTCCCAGCGCTGAACACGAGTCCTGATACATCAACTCGTACTCTGCCGCGATATACAAAAAACACCATATGCATTCTTTTCGAGTTTTTCTGCTTTTTGACTGCGCCTGGGGGCATCTCCACAAACCCTGAGCCCAGGAATGGTGTACTGAGGATTTTCGCAAAGCGGAATGTGGAACCTTTAACTTCGTGGGTTTGAATAGCTGAAGGGGCATAGGCGACGTCTGTTTACTATTAGTCCATATAACTCCTATATTTGTGGAAACCGGAATTGTCATACCCATCAATTCCTCCTGCAGTGTTCCAGCCTGCAGTTCAGGATCCCACGTCTTTACCGGTCCGTAAAAAACCCCCTCGTCAGTCTCCCAAGGTTCGACATCTTCGTCTTCCTCATCAGAGAGCTCGTCGCGCTTTTTCTTCGCTTTGGCCTTCTTACTTGATCTCTTGGCCTTGGTATATGTTGGTTCTGGCTCATCGATTCTGACAATTTCCTTAATAGTGGATAGAGGGAACCTTTCGCCGAGTTCGGCTTCGCCTGTACCGTACACACATTTTTCATTGCGCCAGTATGCCAAAGGACGTACTGATACGCGACCGGATCGTGTACGACGAACATTGTCGTCTGATGGAGCTTCTCTCCTGAGAATATGCAGGCTTCGCTGCTTGTTGTGAGGCCCATTTCTCTTCGTAATATTTTCGATGACTTGGTTTAGATCCCTTTCTTGGTCTGCGGACATTTTCAAAGTTGAAGCTCCTGTGGCTGCCGTTGTCTTTGTTCGTTTGGCTGACCTCGGGTTTTGACCCTCTGCATTGGCCTCATTTGCTTCTTCCCGGACGGCCTTTGGTGGTCTTCCCCTTTTGCGCTTAGGAGGGGGCACTTTGTCCACGCTCTTCGCGCTAGTTTCAGGTTCAACAGGCGTACTCTTCCGTTTTCTTCCTCTGCGCGCTGCCTTTGCTACCACAGATGGAGAGGGCTCCTCTTCCGGATCATCTTGTTCGGATCCATTTTCGATATTATTGGTGTCTTCATTTTCCACAGTTTCGGTAGGGCCACCTTGGCTACTCTCATGATAATCACCATACGGCTCCACAAAACCAGAGTCTTCCTCAGCTTCCTCAACCAAGTAATTTCCATCGTCCGAGAAATCTGCAGTTTCGCCACCCACTTCAATATTAACGACCTCTTCACTCTCCCTGGCTGCGGGCGATTCGAGCTCCGGCGGTATAGAGGTAGCCCTGATTTGCTTGAGCGGCGATTTACCAAGGTGGGTTTGTGCCCTCGATAGATCAAGAGCTCTCATGGTGACCGGCCGCGAAGATGGACTGGATATCTGGTCGCTTTGCGGGATTGGAGAGGAGCGTATTCCTGGTGTCCTCCGGGGCGATCCGCTCAGATGGGTTTTGATGGGCGATCGAGAACGCGGGGGAAGGACGTACGAATTACGCCCAGGTCGCCGGGCGGAGAGCATATCTGCAGGCTCGGGCATACTGCTGCCTAGGATCGCGTTGTATAAGCACTTTTACGGCGAAATAAGAACAGGATATTGCAGCAGCGAGCAAGGTAAACATACTGCCTGCCGTTTCCATATCTTCAGAGTTTAATACGGTGTCGTTTGCAATGCCATTATGGTTTGCTCGCATGGGCGACTTCTCCGGCGAAGAAAACATCCCATCGATCTCCTCCATTCCATGCTCGTCAAGCTTCCCCTTTTCCAGTGTAACGCCTGTTCGTCTAATCAAGAATATCAGCATGCGAAGCTTATCCTCAATTGAAAGGACAGTAGCCCAGTCCGAATGACGAAGTGTAGAAGGCTATATTACCTTCCTGCGACCCCTACATTCCCAAAATCCATCTCACGGGCCTTTGTAGGAGCTCGTCGTGCTGCCATTGTGTCGTTCGGTATGCGAGTACGTGTATAGAGGAGCTAGAGACTTGGGGGGGGCGCCAGGCGTATCAACGCCCTGGGAGAACCAGCGGGAAGCACAATTGTAATGCTTTATCCCGATTTGAGTTGTCAAATGGGATACTGGACACTTGGAGATCGTTTTTGTGGATGAGTTCGTTCATAGATTCCCCGTTTCGACAATAATAAACTCTCCAGCCACCTTTCCAGCGACGCGAGCTGACCGCACTAAACCCAATTCGACACCCCAATCGCCGGGCGCGCCGCACGCACGTCACGCGCAGCCGAGGACATTCGTCAATCATCACTGAGGTCGGAGTGGACAATTTGAGATGAAATATCTTTGCTAGCGACTGATACAATCCTAAATACAATGGGTGATTCCGAAGACGAGCAGAACAATGTCTCTCATGACGCTCCATCCTCCAGTATCTACCACCCACCCTCAATACACCGCTCCTCACTCCTTTCCGGCCAGTCATACGCGCATTACTCTTCATGTCCAGCTGCCATAACACCCTGTGCAGCGGGCAATTCCACCTGGTCTCATCCAGACCATTCAATTCCACCCACGCCATGCGTCCTCGGTGTCGATGAAGCTGGGCGAGGCCCTGTTCTTGGCCCGATGGTATATAGCGCCTTTTACCTCCCTATGCCTCTACATCATTCGCTTCTAGCTGAAGAACACCAATTCAACGATAGTAAAGTTCTCACGCCGGGGATACGGTCAAATCTCATGCGTCTCCTTTGCACCCCGGATCACCCTCTACACGAGTCTTGTGGATGGGCCATAAAACTGCTGTCCGCGCGAGATATTTCTTCTGGTATGCAACGCCCTGGAGCTGCAGTGTACAATCTCAATGCACAGGCGATGGACGCCACTGTGGAAATTATCCGTGGGGTTGTTGAAGAGCGTGGAGTGGACGTTAAAGAGGTATATATCGATACGATTGGTAACCCCCAGACCTATCAAAAGAAATTAGAAAGGATATTTCCATCCTTGAAGATTACCGTCGCGAAGAAAGCAGACGCATTGTTTCCGTGTGTTAGCGCAGCGAGTGTCTGCGCAAAGGTTACTAGGGATGCTGCGCTGGAGATTTGCTATGAGGAGCTACAAAAGCAGAGGGCAGGAATGGTTGAGATGGAGCATATGAACGATGGTTGGGGGAGTGGATATCCATCCGATTCCAAATGCGTGACGTGGCTGAAGAAAGAGATGCATCCTTTGTTTGGATGGGGAAATGAATGCCGCTTCAGCTGGGGAACAGCAAAGGACTTGTTGGAAGTGAAAGCTGGTCTTAAGGTAGACTGGCCTGCGGTTGAGGACGACGACACCAAGATGACACAATTCTTCATTACTGCCTCAACGGAAAACGCGGAAGCGCAAGACGAGTTGCGAGATTGGTACGGTAGGAGACCAAAGGAGATTTTTTGACCTCGACAGAATTGAAACCCATTATCTATTGCGCAGTAGATAATTGGAACCTCATAACAAAATGATACCCACGATAGAAGCTTTAACTAGTCCAGACCACACAAGTAGCTCTCCACTGCCGCAGGGTATCGACACCTAGAAAAAGAAGTAAAGAGGAACCTTGAAAGGATAACCCATCCCCAACCGTGCTAAATGCATATAAAGCCAAGCCAGAAGCAGAGCGAAGAACAAATGAAATAGCCAATTTTCAAAGAGTGGCAGTCGAAAAGTAGTAGTTGTCCCACAAATATTCATAATCATCGATAACGCTGCCCACCAAGTCAAGCAGCGGCTTGCCCTTCATGCGCTGGGTCATGCCTTGCAGCCAGGGTCTATTGTTCGGGTTAGAATCTTCTAAGTAGAATGCGGTTAAATTTCAAGCGACTTACTTGGTGATGCTCTCATAGAAAGCTCCTCTCATTATCCACCAACCCATACTCCATCCTCTTTTCTTTAGCTCATCCCTTTCTAGGCCGGTCAAGCCCCGTAAGCCTCCAGCTACCCTGGCGCGGAAATCTTTCTTTGCCATCTGTCTACATCCGTATTCTATTCCAAATCCAATTAGACAAGGTGTCCAGCTCTTCTTTCCGCTCCATCTCTGCAAGGCCAGGGCATAGATCAGCGGGCGGAGTATATACATAACTTCCGCGAGCTGACCCATCCCAGCAACGCGATGTAGCAAAGTTTTTGGTGGCTTGACATCATCTGCTGTAAGAACCTTGGAGATAAGATAGTTCGAAACATCGCTCGCATCCGGTAAACTAGGCAATGGAAACCCCGTTCTCGGCATTGTCCAGCTCGTCTCGGATGATTCTTCACTCTTCGGGGTGTCCATTCCGTTCCAATCACCCCCTTCGTCCTCATCCTCTGCCGGCCGTGGATCGACTTCCCGCTCCGGCAGAGGTGGACTAACCAGTGGTCGCGAATTTGTTAACCGAAGCAGAATCAATCGGCAGAAGGCCTTCAGTCCTTCAATAAGGACGACCACGCGCCACCGGATTTTCTCGCCACGACGCCGCGCAATCATTTCCCATAGCAATTCCGTGTATTTAATCATTTGTAGAACAAGCGCAACTCGGCGATATAGGGCTGAGCTGGATGTCCAATATTTAGTGTACCGTGCGTGAGGAGTGGGAGGGGATCTGGGTACGGTGAGAGGTAGGCGAGAAATGACACGGGCGACGAGGGAGTCATGGTATAACGACAGAAGCTGAACTCCAGAATGGACTACATAGATTAGCAACTTGTTGCATGCCAGGCCAAAAGCGCACAACTCACTTGATTCTGAAGCCAGTTCAGATTCTCGAAATCGCCCTGTAGAGATGAGACTGGTCAGTCACACAACTCTGCGCTTACGGGCAAGATCATTAACGGATGCCACGAACCAGGAATAATATACGTCAGAGATCGCAACGCCGATTCGACTTGGCTAACAGAGCTGGAATTCTTCGTCACAAACTCCTCGTACTTTCCCATGAGCTTTGTCGGTTGTGATAACGCCGCGGATAATCGGGTCTGCGGTCGCGTCAATGACTCCATCTTTGGCAACATATCGATAACGGTCAACGTCAATCGTCGGCCATCGCAAGTTAGTTATCGAGTTTAAGAGCCATTAGCAAAGTCAGATGAATCAAGCCCTTCCCTTTTCAACTGACTTGAAGTAGTTGCTTCAGGACGTTTCGTCGCCATGGACAAGCCCCACGTGATTTCCAGCCCCCCGACCTCGGTTGAAGCCGAAGGGGAGAGACCCAAGCTTTTAAACTTCCTGTCAGATGACTCGCGATCGGAGAGCTACAGAGAGTCGGGGGCTGAAATCGCAAGAACTCTTGAATGGCGAATTTCCATCAGCAAAACCGCGAGAACCATGACTTCTTGAGAGTAACGACAAGAAGGTGACACCTTTTATGAATATTGACACGCAGTACAAACCCAATGGGAGCATGACATTCCCCCAGCTGGCGGGCCAACGCATCCATCCATCCTGTTTTCCTTTTCGCCTTACCGACATGTCCAGCCAACACGCTTAAGATCTTCAAGGAAGCAGGCGTCTTCCCCGCAGAGATTGGAGTCGGAGACTGTTTCAGTGGTTCTTCTCTGAGTACACGACGGCCAGTTGCCTTGGTTGTAAATCGCGTGCTTGCAGTACTGAGGTGCCGACCATTTTTGTGCCCGCAGAGAGGTTAATGAAGAATGGCTGTCCCTACTGCTCTTCTCTTGCTCTGGACAAGTCTTTCAGATTATTCCCACAGACATATTCGATCAGAGCCTCTCATCTCCGGTCCTATCTTTCCCATCTCCAGTTTATTGTCATAACTCTCGGTCTTCCAAGCTCTCTGCTCATCGGAACTCCTCTCGAAGAACCAACAATTAAAGGAAGTCCTAAATTATTTCACAAAAAGGTGTTGCATTAAGACTCCGTAGACTGGTCACTATTCTGACTGAGTCTTAGAAGAATAGCTTGCAGCAAGATTATACCACCCACAAACACCTGTGAGTTCCACACCAGATACTGAACTGGTGGAACATGTTACACATACAAGCTTTCAGACTGTGGCAACAGAACCTGCAAGTAGTCCAACAGCTATGTGCCACCCCAGCAGTGAAGGGATAAAGATATTGTAGTGGGCTAATATTGCTGTGACAGGTATGAGTTAAGAACAAAGCTTGACAATGCATTTTGAGAGATAATGAAGTCACAGAAAGTACTGTTAATATTTTTGTTGCCTTAATTCAACATTCATGGCCATGTCTCCCCTTCTCTTCCCCTCCCATCAGGATTTCTTGTATCTTTGAGAGCCCAAAGAAGTCATTCTGCCAGATTGCATAAACAGTATCCTCCATTGCCCAACCAACTGTTCCTGCCTTGAGACCTAATTGAGCCCCTTCTCTCTGGCATGAGTCAAAGTCTATAATTACAGGATTGTCCCTCTTATCCATTATGACATTTGATGTATTAAGATCATTATGTATGAGCCCCAAAGTATGCATATGTTTAATGCCGCTCTCAATCCCTTGTAGGCAAAGGACCCTGTCAAAGAGAGTTGCCTCCTATAGCCTCTGTGACAAGTTCATCTGATATTTGACAAAACAAAGCCCCATTATCCTACCATTCTTGGTAACACAACCAAGATACTGAGCAATGTTGGGGTGTGGGTTTCTTCAAAGCACCTCGCACACTTCCATCTTGGCCAATAGCTGACGGCCTGGCTCCAGGGAAGCAGGAGTGTCACTGTAATATAGAAGACTTGACTGCTTGATGTAGGAATTCAGAGGTAAAGGGTCGGGAGCAGGAGTATAATGAGAATCCATCGGCGGCCAGATGTTTTTTGTGAGAATTTTGTTGATCTTTAGCTGACTGATATCAACTGCAGAGGGCGAAGAGACACGCCAGTTGACCCTGGCATAGAAATACTCGCCATCTCCTCGCAAGATCAGCCTTGTATGGTCGAAGATAAGATCGCCGTCTTGTTCCACGAATGCTTCGCTTTGCTCGCATATCTCCATAGTACACATCTCTAACTCCGAGTCCGAATTAATTAGACAGTAACATAATATAGATATGGCTGTGTTACTAGATGCTGGATAGTGGTATTGTTTCGATTGTTCTGGGCAGCGGCAGCAATTCAGAGATATATATCGCTGCTGGAACTTTATAGGGCAGGATTTTGGGAGCTCCGAAAACTGGAAGCCTGGGGAATAAACACAAGCGTACCCAGACCTGTGATTGTCTGTTAGAGCGGTTCATTACTACGTATGGGAGATATACTCCGTACAATATTTAAAAGATGGCTTTATCTACAGATTTATATATGGAATAACTACAGTCTATCCAAAATGGCCAGTTTATTTTTCGCTTCAAAATGCATCCACGGACAATCAGTGCTTGCTAGAGAAGTCATTCATCAGCAAATTTCCAAACGCCGTCCCTTCTCAAGGCCTCCTTATATCTCACGTGGACTCGCTCTCGTTCCATCTCTCCAGCCTTTTCTCGATCGTCAAGCGCCTCTTGTGACGTAGGCATATCGGTACGCCAAAAACCAGGAGGCGATGCTGCTCGTCCATGTGTATATCTGTGTCTCCCAAATCGATTGGAAAGCTCCCAGGCTTTTGCTTCAACCAACAGTTCGTATAATCTATCGCTTGAAATGTTCCGGAGTTTATCCTTCTTATCCACATGGAATTCTTCCAGGAGATCACGATGCTTCGGGCTCAATGTGTTAAAGGTGACATCCCTTGGGATTTCGCCTCGCGCCAGCGCCTGAAATGCTGGCCCGCAGCATGATTGTGTTACACATCCTGGAAGGCATCGTTTAACGCTTCTATTCCTGATTACCTCGTCATATGCGTAATTCAAGCCATGGTTCTTGTCGGGATTCAATTTAAAGTCTTCCAATCTTAGTCGATGTAGTGGGCGACAGCGAAGAGGCTCCTCCTCTGGGCGGGTTTCGCTTTCAGATACATTATTGCGGTGGGTATTGAGGTGTCGAGTTGAAGTCCTCGCAGCCGGCCGGGAGAGGGAGGGTGAAGCCCTTATGATAGTTCGGGGTGTTATGAGCAGAATAGGTCTCGGTGGAGGTGTCTCGAGGAGATCTAACACCCGCTGGGCAGCAGAGGAACGAGTCGTAGAATGCACAAAACGATCTCCATCTCCATGGTGTTCATGGTCCCCAATCTCTTCTTCTCCGTCCTCCGCAACAGAAGGGATCGCAGCTGTCCCACGGGACGAAAACTTCCTTCTCTTACTTTTTGACATTATTCCTTGCCGCGGAAGGGGCAGAGAATTGATATCCATCTCCTCTAGAGCATGCCGTCGCTTCAAGCCAGACACTGGAGGCGTCGTTTCAGACCAGCGTTGGTGATTTGCTGTCTGAATACACGAAGCTTGGTCCTCCTCAACTGAACTGCTTGGGAAATTGTCCGCTCTTCCATCTAAATCTTGTGTCTCATCGGAATCAAGATTGTGGGGGTTGCTCGTTTCGGTTTCATGGGGTTGGTCAGAGGAAGGTTCACTTTTTATTGTTAAGGGCCGGGTGAAGCTTCCAGTCTGCACCATGCTTAAAGTTCTCGGTTTCGACGCAATTTCGTCTGTACGTTTATTCCTCACTGCTCTCGTAGATACTAGTTCTGGGACGCCCGAAGAACTATGTACAAGCTGAGGTGGCTCAGTCGGGTCATATCCAGGCTCTTGAGATTGTGTTGGGGCGAGTTCTAGGTCATGTGGAGGAGGTGAGCTCGTAATGATTGGGTCCGAATTGGTATTCAGAATTGGGGGCAGCGTTGCAGTCTTGGGTGCGGTTGGTTCGGGTCTTCCAGCTTTTCCCACATTGGGTTCCCGACGAGTACTTCGGCTCGAGACGGCTCGCTGAAAGACAACCTCCTCCCCATCCACATTGACCTGAAAAGAGTCCTGTTTGAAGCCGCGAACCCAGGCTGTGGCTTTCCTCTGGGTTATTTCTAACCTCTCCCTAACCGCGCAAAACACACGAGATATTGTAGAGAATTCCCTGTACAAATCGCGATAAGAGCTGGCTAGGGACAAGTAAGACCTTGAAGACACTTGTTCGACGGTAGGATTTTCAGGAATGAGTTTCTTCGGGTCTAGCGCTTCCAGGGCCTTTGAAATGGTATCGTCGCTGAAGCTGGTATTATTTGCATTTTGCAAACTTTTAATTTCTTCCCGGAGTTTCGCGTTCTCTCGCTCAAGAGATTCAGTTCGTGCCTCCAGGTCAATCTTGACAGCATTTGCTTCTTCGACTTTGGCCTCCAACTCCTGAAGTTTGTCTTCTTGGAGTTTAATGTGCCGCTTGCAATCATACGCGAAGTCATCCACCAAATCGTACAGATTCGAGTAGGAGGCCATTTAATCCATTCGCACTTCTGACCACGGATTGGACAAGGGAACGCGAATGATGCCTTTAACTAACAAAACGGCATTTCAATTCCCCAAAACATTCCTTACTTTAGCCTTTGGGTCATGTTGTCAGATATTCTTCAGGCAAAACAAAGCATCGCGTCGAGGCTGGGCAGTCGCGTTATATCGCACGTGATGATAAGCACAAGCCATAGTTAGCAGAAATGGGGAGGATTTGGAAACCATTCATTAAGATATGAAAGAGAATCATAGCGCCCCACTTAGTTACCAAATTATTAGTTATTATTGGATCACTAGGTGGAGTAGCTTTTAGTAGCACAATGGAGCCTAACCCATCCGCATCATTTTAACTTCACCAGATGTTTACACCGCAACTCTGGTGGGTAAAAAGGTGTGCCAATTGGAGGATTCAAACCCCGCACTCTAGAGTGCACCTGCAGCTTATTTACCAGTAAGCCACCTGGCGCAGGAACAGTGAGAGTTGCTGCAGAATTTCTTTGTGATAAAGTATGTAGGAATTAGAAAGAAAATTGCTGTTCAATTGGGGAATCAGACATATTATAGCAAACTTGTTAAATGTTAGAGCAGCTGCAAAATGTGCCAACTGTGCCACAGACCAACTGTAATATCTCAATCACCTAGACCTGTAATTGGGTCTAAGGGATGTAAGATCAGCAATGATCCACATCCTCCTGGGTGATCAGCCTATTTCAAAGAAATCAATCACTTAGTGGCATTGAATTTTAGAATGTAGGGGGATATGGATACAGATCTGAATAGCAACTTGGGCAGTTGAATGCGCTCTGAGTCAACTATATAATAGACAGTAAACCCCCCCATCTAACCACTAGATAGCAAACCCCTCTAAAATTCAAGCATTCACTCTTGTTCATCCTCAGTTCACTCTGAATCATGGAAATCCGATAGCCAAAATGTCGGACACACAGGGCACGCCAGCACTGAAAAAGACATCTCACACCTTGCCATTACCTGAATCACACAGCACCCCAAAGTCTCAAGGTGCATTGTTCCAATTGAATACAAGTACTCGAACCGAAGAGCTCTCCTTTGATTGGTTGATACATACGCCCATCGCACCCGATCTCGCATCTCCTGCTCTACCACTCGAATCTGCCTTTCAACCTCTGTATGATCAGAGGAGAACTCTTCGGTTCGGGTACTTGTATTCAATTGGAACAATGCACCTTGAGACTTTGGGGTGCTGTGTGATTCGGGCCATGGCAAGATGCAAGATGTCTTTTTCAGCGCTGGCGTGCCCTGTGTGTCCGACATTTTGGCTATCGGATTTCCATGATTCAGAGTGAACTGAGGATGAACAAGAGTGAATGCTTGAATTTTAGAGGGGTTTGCTATTTATTATATAGTTGACTCAGAGCACATTCAACTGCCCAAGTTGTTATTCGGATCTGTATCCATATCCCCCTACATTCTAATGGAGCCAGTGCTTAGTTAACTAACTATCGACGAACTAGTGATTACATCATCAGGAAGCGCAACCCACACGGCCAAATTGCCCTGGCCTCCCTGGGAGTATACGGCCATGGATCTCCTGAACATTGGCTAAATCGAATGAAATCCGAACCTATAATGAATGGCCGTACCGATCTAGGTTAAGGGTTCTACAGGTAACATTATGCCAAAACGCCCACACGACGAGTCAGCTCGCGAACTGCCACAGAAGCGAGCACGCCCGACACTCGCTCCGGATCGACTATCGGCGCTGAGCGATGAGCTCGCTCTCCACGTTTTGAGCTTCCTTCCTATCCGCTCTTTAATAACTTGTCAAAGGTTTGGCTAGCCCTGAAACGAAGCAGATATTGTTGGTGGAAATTAATTTGGTCTTTTGCCTAGAGTATCCCGTCGGTTCTATATCTTGGCCAGCGATTCAGAAATATGGAAGCGAAAGTATTACTCGCGCTGGATACTACCTCGTGCTCGACGAGTTAGGCAGCTTACACAGCTAGATGCAGCAATCGAGCCTATTGGCTATTCCTCCAAGGTGGTAAAATGGCTGGAACATGGACGCTCCTGGAGGGAAGGCCGGGAAATCGATTGGATGAAGGAATACCGCCTCCAACATAACTGGTCAAAAGGGAGCTGCCGGGTCAGAGAGCTGGAAGTGGCACAACCACCGATTCCACCGGTTCTAGTGAATCTACATAATGGAGTTGTGTTTACCGTGGACGCGAGGAATGGACTTCGGGCGTGGTCGATGAAGGATACCGAGGTGATGCTAGCGAGTCAATCCTTCGACGGTTTTCCATCCGTAGCACCCACAGCTGTGGCGATTTCCTCCAATGAGTCTTCATCAAAAGATCAAACCGTCGCGGTTGGCTTCGAAGATGGCTCATTCGAAATATACACGTTAGACTACGATACCAAACGGTTCAAACGTCGCCTGTCAAAATCCAAACATGAAGATGGCGAAATCACTGCTCTTGCTTCATGTCCAGGCTATCTACTTGTGCTTTTTCAGAATAAAAAGCTCTCTTTGTACCGGCTGGCTTCGCATTCCTCTCTCCGCCTTATCGACTCGCTGCATGCGAGCAATATTCGAGCCCCACTTACGTTGTCCGTACGAATCGTCGGGTCTGGTGTTATTGCATCCATCGCATACAGCTTTCCTAGAATCGGATGCGGTTGGTGTATCGGTTTACAGGAGGTTCGCTGGGACGAAGACGGCCAAAATCTGGGTTCCCACCTTGCTACACCGCTGGATTCCCAAGCATTGAGTTCTCCAATAGGTCTTGGAGTCACGATGAGGCGATCTGAAAATCCAGTGTCAGCGCTTCAGCGACAGCAGTCTTCCTTTCCGTACCCATCCTACACGCAGCCTCCCACGGCATTGTCTTACTCCCATCCTTATCTACTGACTGCGCACTCTGACAACACTCTTACTACGTACCTGGTTGTGTCAACTGCAGAGAAATTGACGATCAGCCCTCCTCGTCGTTTATGGGGGCATACATCATCGATTTCCGGGGTTCAGGTTGGTGGACGCGGTAAAGCAGTGTCGGTGAGCTCTCGGGGAGACGATATTCGTGTCTGGGAGTTAGAAGGAATGGTCCCGTCACCGCTGATAGCAAAGGCACCACGATTACGCGAGCGGAGCATACAGCTGAGTCCCGAGAGGATGAAGTCGCAGTCAGCTCCGATAGGGTCGAAAAATGCGCCTAATGTCTTGTTGGAGTTTGGGGCCAGCCCGCGGCTTACTCAAAAGGATACCTCGAGCGAATTGACTAAGATGACAGGCCTAGTAGGCTTTGATGATGAACAAGTTGTGGTGCTCCGAGAGCAGGACCTTGGAACACAGCTTCTTGACTGCTATGATTTCAGGTAGCATTGTGATTACGGTTGCACCTGATTGATAAATAAATAGATCCAAATACTGGAATTGTCTTCTTTCAGATGACCCTTATCTCGTGGCTTGACGCACTTCGATAAAATCAGTAAAGTTGTAATCTTCTTTCTCCAAAGGTACTCAATGTGCATCTCCCTATATATATTCGAGGTGCCGTGAAGACTCCGTAAATTCGCCCATTCTTTATAGCTTTGGTCTGTAAAAAAAAATTTTCTAGGACGAAGGTAACTATTCTGTTATGACACAGGACGCTTCAACAATTTTGTGAACCGTCCGTGATGTATCTGCCCATGCCCTCTGATTGGATTCCGAAAGCTGCCATTGCCCGCAGACAGGGATTCGAGTCCAGATATCCAATATACCACTGCTAAGGCCAGATTTCTGGGCTCAATGTGCCTCTTAAGGTTAGTACCAGGCACCGTTTCGTCGTTTGAAAAGGCGAATGAAATGGATCATTTGTCCCTACACATCAGCCCTAAGACGAATTTCATGAATACAACAGCCAGGTTTATCTCTCTCGCGAGAGCCTTGCAATGTGGAACGAGGAGGTACACACAGCCCAGGAAACGCGACAACAATGGAGCACGATGCACTGATGAAGGAACACGCCACTGTCCCCATTTCAAGGACAGGGCTCTGTCTCACGAATTCAGTCTCCCTTGCCGCATGCTCGCCCGGACACGTTAAATTTAAGATCCATCGCCTCAGATCTAGCCAATGGCTGCCAGCGTAACAGCACCTCTACAGGGGTTGGACAGCAGAAAAGCAAATATTCCAAGGCCTGCAGCTGCAGCATGACCCCCCTCCGGACCTGCTTTCGCGTCGTTATTTTCGCCATCTCGCCCGCTGTATGATTCTAGATCTAGGCAAATAGCCAGAAAAGGCGGAGGGGGTCCAGGATTGGGATTCGCACGACTTCAATGCCTAGGCCTGATACAGTCATGCGAAAAAGAACCACACGGCGGAGGAGATGCACCATGAAAGCACAGGGAAAATGCAGGGCTAAAGCATACCAAAGGCAAAGAAGAAGGAAAAGGAAAGCAATTCTACTGAAAAATGCATTGTCAATGATACTGTCCACACTAAAGGGAAGATGGTGCAGAAAATGCCACCTTAAAGCTCACTAACCAGGTGACCTGTCTTCTGTGGGTTCCCTTTTTGACTGTTTTGACTTTTTTCCGCCCCGTCAACTCTCTCTCCCTCTTTCTTCTCTCTCTTTTTTTCTCCTCCTCAACAACTTGTGATTCTGCTTCACAAACAGACTTTTCTCTGTTCACCGCCCGATTTGCCTCTTTACAAAATCCTCTTTATCCGCCTACCTCTACGGTTTGCACGTTTCGTCTCATCTGTAGGTCAGACCTGGTTTAGCCCTTGACAGCTCTCCGCCCTCATTCCCTTCATTTTTTCCTCCCCCCCCAATCTCCCGCCCTCATCGACACCGTCTACTTCATGTTTTCCGTGTTGCGTAGTCGCCTTGCTTTTTACTGCCGTTCCAGACCCTCTGATCGACCGGTTAGGCTTGCTAGTACCGCTTCTACTGCCTTTCGCCCATATACTCGAAGAAAAATGGAATATCAGGCTGGTTGCTTCACTTGTGAGTCTCTCTGTTACTTGCGTGCTTTATGGGTTTGCTGTGCTGGAGTCGCAATGCCTCGGCGCAAGTCTCGCTTTCAAGACATAATCCCCATATTATTCTCTCTTTTTTCTTTTTTCTTTTTTCTTTTTTTTTTTTTTTTGGTTTTTAAAGCAGATCTTCCGCTCTGCGGCATTCAGCTATTTCCTATTCCACTTCATTGTGATGCGCTTTGCCTTAACTATTAAGCTCAATGCTAACATTACTGTCAGGTGGCGATTCGGCCCACCAGGTTAATATGATGCGTGCTCCGTTTGTGGTGGGATAACATTAATTTTTCCCTCTTAGGCCCGCGACTGCCCCAAGAAAGGTTCTGTTATCTGGTATGATACTTCCCCCCCGGGATCCCAAATCGAGACTTAGGCTCGACTGGACTAACATTTTCTCTAGCTACAACTGCGGTGGTATGTCAGGATATCGCGTCACCATTGACAGCTGAAAGTATGAAGTTCCCTAACAAGCTTTTTTTTTCACATTTTAGGAGAAGGACACGTCAGTGAGTAAATATTGGAGGATGGCCCGGAGGTGAAGACATGTCGACAAATTCCCATGACTGACCGTGTTGAACCCGTTAACCCTTAGGCCGCGATTGCAATGAACCCGCAAAGGAAAAGTCCTGCTACCGCTGCGGCTTGACAGGTCACATTTCGCGTGACTGCCCTCAGGCAGGCGAATCCGGAGGCGCCAGAGGTCAAGAATGCTACAAGTGTGGCCAAGTCGGACATATTTCTCGTGAATGCCCCCAGGGAGGCGAGTCCGGAGAGGCCAGAGGCCAAGAATGCTACAAATGTGGCCAAGTCGGTCATATTTCCCGTAACTGCGGCCAGTACTCTGGATACAATGGTGGTGGCTACAACGCTGGCTCGTACCGCTACGGTAACCGTCCTCTGACTTGCTACTCTTGCGGAGGGTATGGCCACAGGGCTCGCGACTGTACCCAAGGACAGAAGTGCTACAATTGTGCGGAATCCTTCCTACCTTCTTTTGGATATTCAGAAAAGGGTAACTGACAGAGCGTTCGTTATAGGTGGTGAGACTGGCCATGTCTCTCGCGACTGCACCACCGAGGGCAAAGGCGAACGTGTCTGCTACAAATGCAAGCAGCCCGGTCACGTCCAAGCCGCCTGCCCCAACTAGACCGGCGACATTTCGGTTCGAAATCTAGCATAGGAGCACGTAACAAATTGAATCTTGGTCATGACACGACTCACCCGTCCCCTTAACACATACTTTTTTCGGACTTACAAGCAACGACCATAAAAAGCGTGCGTCATGACCCCCTCACTCTATCCAACTGATCGCGGAAACGTTGTATCTTCCTTTTGCGACAAAAAACAAAACGTCTATGAAGTCCCTCGCGTGCGCTCCTCCTCGCCGTTCAAATATAACTTCTGTGACCCAAGCATCCTCGGGAATAGGTATGGGAGAGTGCTTTTTGATTGCAGGCGCACAGGCTACTGAGAAGAGGAAAAAAAAAAACCAAAGGTTTCATGGGGAATAAAAAGTGATTGTGCAAACGGTGTTCTTCAAATGGGAAATTCAGTTGGGAGACTTGGGGATCAGTTGTTTGAGAATTCTACGGAATCAAATGATACCAGAGTCTCGGATTCCTCTTTTCCAAATGTCTGCTTGCATAGTTATGCATTGCTGCTAGTTTTCTGAGGTAGTTAAATATCCTATGTCAAGCATAAGTCTTTTCACAAGGGCTTAGTTGTTTTGATAGGGAACTCTATTTTTCTGAACTATCGTAGCCAGTCATCGTCAACTACTCCTAACCACTCCATCTGTTATTCAATGGAGCTATGGCACATGACTCTTGCAGCGTACTAGGGAGTAGCAACAAATTCCCCATGCTAGTATGGTTAGACGATTCAATTGATGTCTAATCGATTTCTACATATAGAGGACAGGATCCCTACAGGGAATAGGATATAAAAGAGCCAGGAAAGCCTAATGGAGTTTCAAACGAAGAAAACTTTGATAATGAATCTCCCATATGTAATAGAGGGATCTCAGTATCATAGCTTTTGCTCTTTTTAGCAAAAGTTTCACCACTGCCATCGGCCCTGCCCTGTTCGCTGTCCAAAATTCTGGTTCGCAACCCTGAGAGCTTCTCCCAGATCCATATCCCCCACCACTTTGACCCTCATCCCCTCACCCTCGCCACCTGTCTCAACATAAACTTCTTTCGGTCCCTGAAACACATATCTCGCTCCCCTTGGTGGTCTATACCTCGGCATGCTGCAGGCCTCTTCATACGTTGGGATGCCCCGACTGCGTTGAACGGCTTCTTCCTCTTCGTCGCGCGCTTGATCGGCAGAATCGTTGATTGCGGCTTGGAGGGCAGCATCAAAGGCCGGATCAGCATCTGCGGGGAAGAAGGACCCGGTGGGGAAGGCATCTATGCGGGAGCGGGCAAGTATTTCGGAGAGGGAGTACATGGCCGGACTATGAGCAGGTTGAGGAATTATGGGAGGGTTGGAGAAACCAGGCTGGTGGTGGGAGTGGCGACGGGTGGTGTATGGGGCTGCGATACTGGAAATGCGGCGCGCTAGAGATTCGCGTGCACTATTGGCGCGGAAAGGGGTGCTTGCTCTTGATGTGCTTGCTTGGGGAAGATGTGACGGTACGGTATCCTGGAGCCGTGGTTGGCGCGCTCGACTACCACTCAGGCTGTTATCCTCCTGGTGGGTTGTGGCGGATCTTGACCGTGCTGGGCCGCTATTTCCATGAGTTGCATCTCTTCGGTCAGTTTGAGGGACAGTTGATGATGCTGTGCTTTGACGTCTAGGTCGTTGGTTACCACACCCCGGTTGAGTTCCGGTAGCGGATCTGGCTCTCGTTGAACCAGTGTTTCCACGGACTCCGTCTTCGTTGTTTCGTAGACTCCTGGAGTTCGCCCGAGCGGCACTGTCACCTACACGCTGACCTGGACCACTGCCGAATTCTCTATCCATCTGCAGTAATCTTTGTCTCTCTGCTTGAAGCCTCCTTGCCCTCGCGCGCTCCTCTGCCTGACTCCTTTCTATTGCCATCATCAATTGATCATCCTCTTCCCGAGCAGCCTGTCTGGCCCTCTCCGCATCAGCCCGGGATACTCTGAGAGCTCTTTCATTAAGGTCGCGATGGAATCTTCGCGATTCTTCAAGCTGCCGTTCATGCTGCTCGTTAAGGTGGAAGTTCTCTTCGAGAGCCCGACGCAGGTACTCATCGTCATCCATGGACATAAAAAACTGTAAGCTCTAGTTAGTTTGATCGCTAAGGCAAGAGGGATGAACCATATTCAAGCTGCTGTTGAAAATGTCAAGAGCAAACTGTGTGAGAAGTCATGACACAATGAAATGTCTACCAAGAACACAAGGACCTGTTAGTTATAGCGGGCGCATTAGGCAAATAATGCAAATGCCCTGGGCAAGAGGTGTATTCAATAACAAGCGTTAGATTCATCAGTCACCGGGACAGGTATAAAGAGTTCTATCACTGCAACAAATTAGCTGTTGTGTAGCTCTATGTTCTGCTCTCAAGAAGAAAACATAAATATTTAAGCCAGGTATGTCTTCAAGAGCTGCAGCTGCACATGGTCATTCTCTTGAATTGGGGAACATCTCCACACAACCTCTCCTCTTCCTCTCTGTTCCAATTCCATTCCTCTTGAAATGGATGAAGCGCCATGTGCATAACACGACCGAGGATATCTCTATCTCCCTGATGCTGAACACGCTGTATCACTTCATCCAAGACCCACGATCGTGGAAGGAACTGAAAAGAGATATCAGCACTGAACTGTTTTATGCAATGTAGTCTTGCAAGTTCTCACCTTCGGGTTCACCGCCTTCATAGAAGTTTGGCGTTCGACATCCGAATCACTTCCCCAATCCTCGATGACCCTATCCCTCCAAGCAGATAACCATTTTGCAAGCCGCTCTCTGGCAGATTCCTCTGTGTTTCCAATGCCACCAACGCCCTCCTGATGGAAGAACACGCTAGCAACTTCTTTCCTTTTCTCCTCGCTCTTGATGTCACTTAGAGAGAATCCAGACAGCTTTCTGAAAAAGTGGTTGAAGTCTAACTCTAGGGCCTCGAGGGCATCAAGTAGATCAGAAAATAACTTTTCAAAGTCCGAGTCTTTCTGGGTCTTTAAACCTAATCTGGCGGTCATCAGGCGTTTGTATTCGTTCAAAAACAGGGTTCGATATTCCTTAGATGCGTTATCAATAATGGTCTCGGCTCGCTTAATGAGTATCGGGGCAAAATCTTCAGTGATTCCTTTAGAGACGAAAGTTTCGTCATCGACCTTGTCCCCTGCACCTATTAGTTCTCCAAACGATTCTCCTAGTCGAACCAAATTCCACCAAATAATCGAGGGTTGATTCCTATACGAATATCGTAGCAGTTCATCATCGTGGTTCGGGGTATAATTTGGGTCGAAATTATCCATAAAGGCAAACGGGCCATAATCAAGCGACAGTCCGAATATTGAAGTATTGTCTGTATTCAGCACTCCATTCATGAAACCATATGCTTGCCATGCTGCAACTGTTTTCGCATTACGTCGTACAATCTCACGGTAGAGCCTAGAAAACCTGTTTTGCTCTGCGCCTTCTTCTCCTTGCATTTCATCTTTTGGCACACCTCTAGGTGGATTATCCACATCAACAGGAGGAGGACCGTCATCCGAAAATTTCAAGGCTGCAGGGAGGGACTCCCACCCAGAGAAAACGTCCTCGGCGATATAATTAGCGAGCTTGCGCGTGAGATCTCGATCTCCGCGCGCACGAAGGAGATCAAACGTTCCAATACGAAGCCAAGATTCAGCAAACCGAGTCACAATGGCTCCAGGCTCAATCTTTTCTCTTCTTACTGCAACATCAGGTAACAGGGTGAGGGCGAGTGCACGAGTTGTAGGTATTCCAAGAGCATTCAAAGCTAAAATCCAGAATCAGACCCACACCTTTGGGACAGAGCTGGCTCTACAAACCTTCTGAGATTACGTATTCTCGAATGCTAGAGCGAAGGACTGCTTTTCCATCGGCAAATCGCGAGTACGGGGTCCTTCCAGCCCCCTTAAGTTGAATCTCATACCTTGTACCCGTAGTCGGATTTACAGTTTCAAATAAACTGATGGCCCGCTACAAGGTTGTTAGGAGTCGACTTTTCATGGCAAGTTTTGGTGGGTTTGGGGGGGACCTACACCATCACCTAACTGTCCTGCCCAAGCTCCGCTGCGGATACCCGTCAGTAATTTCGGCAAGTCGTCAAGCTCCCATGAGATCCAACGTACAATTGCCAACCTCAAAAGACCCATGAGCATTAGTCCTCAGTTTGCAAAGATATAGCCGGAAGAACCAACCTCCGTAACATTGCGCCCATGGGTATATTCCTCCATGCTCCTCACTCCAAAATATCTTATTCCCAGCCGTCATATCTTTAAAGGCCTTTGTCTTCTCCTCACCGTCTTTCAACCCGATATCACGCATTGCCCGGGGACTCACATCCAAAAGCTCCAGGTCGTCTTGCGGTTCTGGTCTAACAAAGGTATATAACGCCCCTTTGACCATACGAGGTCCCAATTCCTCTCGGGGAGCATTATTTGAAGATTCCGGTGTTTGAAATGCGGGGTCCGGGGGAAGCTTTGTAGTGAAATTGTTGGTTTTGGGGATGTCCTCTAAGGATAAGGCACTGGTATTCGCTGTCTGTGGACCGTTAGATAGATGAGATGCCATTCGTGCAAGGCGGGATTGAAGGATCGTCGGCACGCAGCGATAAAAAGTGTTTCTCAAGAGCATTGACGGGCGTGACAGGAAGGTACACAGGTGCTGAGAAGGCTGATGGCCGTTTACTTGCTAAGTTGAGCAAAAGAGGGACTGAATCAAAATTTATACAGATCATATACTCCGTCCTCAGTCAAACCTATAGCGAAAGACAGACTACATGTGAGACGTGGAGGTTTCCTGCGATGCGGTTTTGGATACGGCTTTGGATGCAGCCGGATTTCATCTTATCTAATCAAGATCTGACGCCGGATGACATCACTTCTTGGCATCTGGGCTTTCGGCCAGGAGAAACGTCGGCAAAGGGGAGAGAAACCTTGGGCGTGGGATGCAGTTACGGAGTACCCCAGTTCCTTGAAAACTAAAGAGCCAGCAAGGTAGATCTATGGGCCTTTCGTGATTCCGCGATCAGCATGGAGGACTATGTTACATTTGAAAGCTGTAAATGCCGCCCTTGATCGCGCAGACTGGAATTAGTTACCCACCTTTGCGTACGCCCTTCGCTGCCGACTATCCAACGTCCTCCGTATATCGCACATTAAAACGGCCACTGCGAAATGGACCTCGTATTGTATTTTCCTCCTTCTTAAACTGCCTTTGAACTCAGTTAGGACGTTCAAAGATAGGCTTTTGCCATCATGGTCCCGTTGAGATTACCCGGTTAACCACCCCACATATTTTCGGCCCATAAGAACCCCGGCGTCCCGCAATTTTGACCCATCCTCTCCAATTGCTCTCTTCGACCCCGTTTCCCCTTCCTACCTCTGCAGCAAGATTCAGAAGATATTCAATCGGTCGCGCACAATGGTTGCAAGTATCCCGTCCGTGAAGCTCAATGACGGAACCAGGATTCCAATTGTAAGTATGTTCCTTTGTGTGTAATCTGCTTAAACTGCAGATGCAACTCCTGGTTTTTGCACGATGCTGATAATTATTAATCGAAGCTCGGCTACGGCAGTGGCACAAAATGGTTCAAACGAGGAGAAAGCACCGGCCTAGACCGAAATCTCGTCGATGCGACCAAGAATGCCATCAAGTTGGGATATCACCATCTTGACGGGGCGGAGGTTTACGGGACAGAAGAAGAACTTGGAATTGCGATCAAAGAAAGTAGCGTTTCGAGAGACCAGCTCTATGTGACGACGAAAGTGATCACCAACATCTCTGATATCCCGAAGGCGATTGACGAGAGTTTGAGGAAATTGCAGCTGGACTATGTTGACCTGTATGTGCTCCTCCCCCCCGGGGGCATTTTACCAGTGTATCGCGGGCAACGAACTCACGAGCATGACCTAGATACCTTATTCACTCCCCCTTCTTTGCAAAATCTGACGAAGATTTGCAAAAAGCATGGGCCGAAATGGAAAAGGTCAAGGAATCCGGTAAAGCACGATCAATTGGTGTATCAAACTGGCTCCAAAACCACCTCGAAGCCGTCCTAAAGACAGCCAAGATTGTGCCGTCCGTTAACCAAATCGAATATCACCCCTATCTCCAGCACAGTGGTCTACTCGATTTCCACCAATCCAAGGGCATCACCACCACTGTGTATGCACCCTTAACTCCTGCAACGAGAGCAAAGGGTGGTCCGGTGGATAGCATTCTGGACAGTCTAGCTAAGAAATACAACACCACTGAGGGTAACGTCTTGCTTCGGTGGGCTATCGACCAGGGCGCAGTTCCCATAACCACCAGTTCGAAAGAATCGCGCCTGGCCGAGTACCTTGAAACGTTGAAGTTTAAGCTGACTCCGGAAGAAGTTGAAGAAATCAAGAAGCTGGGCGAACAAAAGCATTTTAGAGCTTTCTGGACAGATAAATTTGCTGCTGACGATCGATCATAGATAGCGATGTGAAGGTTCGTTGAAAACGGTAAAATGCGAAGTCTTGCAATATACATAAAACGCGCGTGTTGCAGCTAGTCGTTAGCATCCAAACTAGATGGAATAAATGCCGAAACTCTTCTGAAATAGGCATTCAATATTCTTCATATTCTCTCCCAACGAGTGGATATATCCACCAGCTATGTTGTTATCGCCCTTCTTATTTCCTCTTTGATTCATAGTCGTTCGTAATACATAGAGTTGTTAGCTCCAAACCATGAAAACCAACTTCGAACCCCCGAGTAGGGTTAAGCCTAAATTTTGGGGGCATGCCCTGTAGTATCTCGACGCGATCCAGCAAGTGGTTGATGGCCTGGATCATGAATTCAGCTCGCATGCCGCCGTGTTCGAGAGGCAGTCCGAGTTGCGGGCCTGGGAGCACCTGGAGGCGTGAAATTGATGGCCCTGACGTCTGGTAGAATTCCAAATGAGACTGAGCAAAGATGACATTGTATATCTGGATGATCTGGATGTAATATGCTGAAATAATGAGGATGGTAGCAGTGTCTAACTTTGGCTCCGAGGTATTAAGTTCCATCAGCCGTCTTGTCGTCGAGCTAGGAGCCGGTGTCCGTTGAGGAGAAGAAGTGGCGTGGACGGATGGTCCCATTATAGAAGTAGGTTGTGAATGAATAGATCTGGGGCCAGATGTGGTCGATAGGTTACTGAAGGCAAAGCACTGTTGGAAAAGTCTGAAGGCACAGAAGTGCCCGTGTCCAAGCTAACGTTTTTGGAAAGTGCAGAAGCTTGTAGGATACCTAAAATCTTTGACGTTCTCTGCAGCAGTTCTCCAAGCTGGCTCTTATTTTCTGGGCCCGGCTTCTGTAAACCGTCTCCACATCCAACATGCTGAAGGGAACTCCTCAGGGAACCCAGCTTGACCGGTGCAGCTGCCCAGATAAGCATAAATTAGGCTTACAAAAACGCTGAACGAGATGAACTATTCGTATGACCTTGGTTGGCTCTTGTGCTGGTTATTCAAGAGACCCGCTTCCCAGGCCGGTGCCACCCTCGCGCAACATGTCGTTCTGGCTATCAGTACGTCCACGGTTCCAGGGCTGGATAAGAACCTCCGGCACGTGGAAGCCAATTAGTGTACTCCCAGACGAAGGAGGTATATCCGGCCCATTGGCATTACGCATCATGGAGTCACCGAAACTACTATCTGCATCTGGGATTTCCAAGAGCGTACCTGGCTCAAATCCAGGTATATCAGGATCGCTCGTTTGAAACCAGGACAATGATTTATCCAAGGGCCCCTGGGAATGTTCTGTAGCTATCTCTCCATGAGCTCTCTCTGCTGGTGGTACAGCAGTAAGATCAGGACCCGAATGCACATATTGCTGTTGTCTAGAAGTGCGAAATACGATGTTGCCGCTGCCACTCTGATCCCTTTTACGTACTCTTTCAGTTGTTTGGGTGGATGGTGTTCCCGTCCTGGACCGAGCAGGGCGACCTAATGGCAGGGCTGTGCTTGTAACACACTGTGCGCCTGCGCGCAAACACCGTGGGCACGAATCGCCAGCCTGGGCTTCTCGAGGACAACGGAGTTTATGTTTTCGACATCGATCGCACGCGTATCGCTTTGGCAAATGTGGTATGCCCTTTCGATGACCTGACATGATAGAGCTCGGAAGGATGGTTCAGCTTGGAACCCAACCTGGATCAATCACTGAATCGACCAGCGAAAGAAGTCTTGCACGTCAACTAAAACATGTTGTACATAGTACAACTGACAAGAAACAATCTAGCTAAGCCATGGATATTGACGCAGAACCTCGACTATATAAATTCCATTTGTTAAAGTAAGGTCTGATGACGGCAAGGCCGAAGCAGCATTCCTGTCGTTCCTTGATGCACACAAACAGCTGCGGCTAGGCTGCAATCGGATCAACTCTTCGCCGAGATTACTTATTAACCTTCTAGTTAGTTCCAAATAGGTTAGATTGTGCCGACGACTGCCGATGAACACCTTTTCTCTCCCGGCCTGCGCAACACCGAAATGCTCGACCAATGGGTTGTGGTGATTCCTCGGCTCTTGACGCATGATGACTTTCGGTCTCTATATCTGTAGAATGGCCTTCGTGTTCTTCACTAGATGCCAAAGCACACTGTTCGGAACCATCCGAACAAGGGGACTTTACATATGATGCTCCCGAAAAAAGGGGCTCAATGAAGCGACAAGCATATGTTCAAGAGTTCGGGCTGTATCGAAGCGACATCCGCTATGGGGATGGCGGGAGAATCTGTTTGGAAATAAATAGGAGTTTGGCATGTATTGTCATCATGCTGTTCCAAAGCAACATTCCGTCTCGAAGATATAATCTTTGGGAAATGAGCTGTTGACTGACAGCTTCATCCATGGCCCAGACAAGAAGTTTTGCTTTCGTTTTGCATTTTCTATATTTCGAGCATAAATTTCTTTCATTTCATGGCTCAATCAGAAAAAAAGGATACGGCTGTGGTGCCACAACATGAGGGCGCGAAGGAGCTTGACTCGAAAGGGCCGGTGACGAAGAAGGGGCTTCAGTTTTGGGCAATTATATGTTCACTTTGTGTGACCAGCTTGCTTGGAGCTCTGGAAAACACAGAGATTGCTACATCCCTCCCCACAATAGTGCGAGCTTTGGATATCGGCGATGGCTATGTCTGGGTTACAAATGCATTATTTTCTGACAAGGTACGGAGTATGCATGTCACTTGTATGATCCTTTTCTCGATTTAGGCACCAAAGTGGCTGGTTTTTCAGAAGGGGACGCATGTTGTGGTTAGCAACTATTATATTTCATCAGCGCCGCTATGCAGCCGCTTTTCGGACAATTGTCGAATCTTTTCGGAAGGGGATGGGTGACGATATTCATAGTTTCAATATCTGTAGCATAGAGATGCTCATAACAGGACGGGCGGTTCAGGGGATTGCGAGTGGCGGGTTCAACATGATTGTCGATGTTATAGTAGCGGATATTGTCTCATTGCGGGAGCGTGGCAATTATATTGCCATCGTCTTGACCGTGTTTCCGATAGGCCCATTTATAGGCGGAATAATCCTGGACAAAACGTCCTGGAGATGGTTCTTTTACATCAATCTTTGCTTTTCTTCTTGAAATCTAAATATCAGCGTGACAGGGACTTCACTAAACGATTGAAGGGCATCCATTACGCCAGTAATATTATGATCATAGATTCCACATCCGTTGTACTCTACGCCTCAACGTATGCCGGTTCGCGATATCCCTGGTGATCGTAGCGCATAGTCATCCCGCTCATGATGCGTCTTTGTGGTATGGTTCTCTTTATGGCCTAGGAGAGCTCGAGGTTTTGCAGGGAACTTGTGACACCTCCCCGGCTTTTCACAGACCGCATGTCATTGGTCGTATATATTAGCAAGTTCTCCCTGACTGACCTCCTGTACTGGGTGCTCTTTGTTTTTCCTTCCTGTCTATCTCTTGGTTCATCATCAGCCCGCACAAGTGTTCAGTCACTGCATGTCACGTTGACCTCCGTCGCCGGGGCCGTCACTGTTGTGATTATTCTTTCATAACTTGGCAAATATGGATCCTTTCACTTCGCTGGATTCGCGATCCTGGCGCTGGGTCTTGGTCTATTTGCTCACTTTAATAGAACGTCCTCCGCGGCCGAGTGGATCATCTTCCAAATGATAGCAGCCTTGATTCCGGGGGATGGTGCTCAACACCTTGCTCCCTACATCCCAAGCACCGCTTGCCGAGAGCGATCAGGCGGCCGCAACGGCAAGCTGGGCATCGCTGCGAAGCTTTGGCAATATTTGTGGCGTTGCGATTCCGGCTATTCTCTTCAACAAATCAGTTTCTAGAAACCGTCGTATCGCATCTTTGATATGGATGTCCCGCAACTTCTGTCGAACGCTCATTCATAGCGAGGTTCCGGGAGCCTCTGAGCGGCGAGGTCACCGGTGTTTTCTTGGATGCGTTGGAATTTGTTTGGGAGGTATCGGTTGCCTTCGCGGGAGTAGCCTTCCTTTTGGTTTTCATGGAGAGAGAGAGAGGTCCGTCCTGGAAAGGGGCTTGATACTGAGTGTGGCATTGAGATGAAACCAGAAGCGAGGAAAAATGGATGTTTTGAGGCATGATAGCAGGAAAAAAGAAAGATCTCGAATGCGTACGTTTTTAGACTTTGGCAGAGGTGCATTAGATCCCGGCTCCTCATCAACGGCTTCAACTCTCCAAATAGCATATTTTGTCTAATGTATGCAATAGATATCTCCCGAGCAAGAATAGTTTCTCAGGATGTTCGGTACCCCGTACCTATGTACATAACGTACATGCGAATTTCCTTTCTTTCGTACTCCGTATTCACATTTCCTCTCGGGTGATGACAGCTACATACGTCAACGCCCAGAAAGAGGAAGCGGAGGGAGGGTGAAGAAAAAAGCAATGATCGCCAATCGGATGATCGCATTGGCCACGATCTGCTGGTTAATTCCGTCCGTGACTCTGCGGTCAGCCCAGGAGCTAAGAGGGAATCGGCAGCGATGGCACCCCACGCCAGGCAAGCTTGCTTGGAGAGGAGTTTGTATGCAGTAGCTGCGAAGCCCAGGACGTGCTCCATTAATCAGTGATCGGACTATAGTTAGTAGACGAACCCCGGGGGAGGCCTGAGTACTGTTAACTGTTGGCTGGCAGGCTGTTCTTTTCGGTGGCTTCTGCTGTCCTTCTGCGCGGCTGTAGGCGCCGGAACTGTGGGCGCAACCCCACCGAGGCCCCCCAGCCAGCCCGCTAACTCGCCGGGCTGCCCTGGGCCCCAAACTCCCCGAAACTCAGTTCTCGTCGCTGCCAAACCGTCCTCCTCGTCGTCGTCGCCCGCCTGCCCACCCCCAACACTCCAACTTGTTCTTCCATCGCCAGTTGATCCTGGGTGGCCGTCTCCCATCTCCCTGCCACTCAATCGCTGCCCTCGCTCGCCTAACCAACACCCCCAACCCCTATGGCCGTGCCTATGCGAGCTGGCCACGCTTTCGCCGATCGTGGGCATAGACTCAGCCAGCCAATAAGATTCCGTGGTTCTCGTCGCTGAGCGGAACCAGAACCTTTGGCTGCTGGACGGGCCGCCTCGCCGCCGTCACGTCACGCCTGGCTGCGACATCGGGGAACGAGAAGCTGCTCCTGGAGGTGAGTAACGAAAAATCGCCTTTTTTTTTTTTTTTTCTTTTCTCTCTCTGCTTCTTTATCCGTCCCCGCGCGTCTGTGTTGAGGCTGTCCCACTGTGTTGAAAGTCATCTGGCGTTCCCTTTAGCTGCTTGTGGAACCTTGCCGGGCAGCGCATTCACCCGCCCTGTTATTGAAAGTCAACAACACCCTCATTTTGTTTTGGCCTGTTCAGCCGGCCCGACTGAGCAGCTTACGGAGCTTCATGAATCCCATTTATCTCAATTCACTATTGACGCGCTTCTCTCTATTGTCACAGGCATCGAGCTCTTGAATGAGCCCCAGGCGCATTCACATCAATTCTGCTCTTTCGTTTCCCTTCCCCCCGACTGTCCTTCCCATGGCCTGAACATTCGAGCTCGAATGCCTTTATCTGAGCTCTGCGCTTGCTCTTCACTTTCAAACTCTCAACCCCCCGGTTTCGCCGTTCTTCCCAGCTTTGCCTGTGACTCCCTTCCTTATCGACTTCCGCTGATCTCTGCGGCCGATCAGAGCTCTTCCTCCCTGTCTCTCCACCTCTATAATGCCACTCGACCACGATACTTCCCTCCCCGCCTCCAATAAGACCATCTCCAAGTCTGCACCAAGCAAGAAGAGATCGCATTCAGAGTACCTTCTCGATATTAACTCCCGGTTCAAGCGTCTCACGGAAGACGTCTTCCCTCACCACCCATACCTCCTCACCGTGCCGACGGAGAAACCGTTCCGGCTGGGTTCCCGAACAGTGACAAACTGGGCTGTTGGCAAGGGCTGCTTGTTTGCGCCAGAGGAGGAGCAGCTCCAGTACATGACGTTTCTGTCTCGTCAGGCCGAAGACACTCTCCTGGTCGCCGTGGGGGGATGGTCCGATGGGAATGGAAATATCATCGAGGAGGATGAACCTAGAATACATGCAGTGAAGATGAGAAACAATCCGTCACAGAACAGTCAGCAGAAAAAGAAAATAAGTTTCAAGGACTACAAGAAAGCGTTGGAGACATCCGTTCCGCCAACTCCCGCGTTGGGATCTAGCAACAAGACCGAACCCTCACCTCTCAAGCAGGACGTTCCGTCGAACAGAAGGGGCCAATGCCCTAAAGCTTCTACTTCTACGAAGGAGGATGTTGCTCCCAAGAGAAGGCCGGAATCCCCATCTTCAAAGCCTGTTGATGAGTCTTCACCGCCCCATCGCAAGAACCCACGATCCGAAAAGGACAGTGAAGAGGATTCAGACAAACCCCTTATACAATTAAAGAAACCGCCAGCCGTTCCTGAGTTACTTTCACCTACTCTTCCGCCGGACACCACTGGCCCGAGTATACCTCCTCTGCTCTCTCCAACGCTCCCTCCTGAACTTGAAGAAGAAATATCGCTTTCAGAGGAGAGCAAAAAGGCACCACCATCCGCGGCTAGGAAAAGTTTTCCCAAGCCTACGGGTAGCCACTCTGATGCGATCAAATCCAAGTCCATAGAACGTAACCGGCCCCGCGAAGACTCATTTTCCAGTACCAAGGGAGATACCAAGCTTAAAACGCCAAATACTTCATTCGCTGCGAAACCTGGAGTGAAAAGCTCCCCAATTCCTGCTCCGCTGACAAATCGTCCCATTAAGAAAGTTACTGTTACCGCACAAGGCAGTGTTGTGCCATCGTCCTCCGCTGGCAGGTCGGCGCCTGCAACTCCAGCAAAGCCGAGACTCGTTGTTAGACTCAAGTACGGGCGCCAAAACAGAAAGCGAATCGAAGCGCTGTTGAAAATAACCAGGCGCAAAGCTCCAGCTGAGAAACGCCCGGCAAAACCTCAGGAGGATGTACTAGATCAAAAAGAAATTAAGCCACCCTCGACTTTGAAAGCTCCTGAAAAACAGCGAGAATCGTCCCTGGGAAGTAAACGTCCTCCACCAATAGATGACATTCCTTCCGAAGGCCCAGCGCGTAAGAAGCCAAAAGCGACCGCGCCGACATCTTCCGAGCCAAAAGGTACACCCAACTCTAAAACTTCCGGCCAGCAGCCCAAGGCCCAATTTCCAACTCCCAAAAAGGAAGTGAAACCCGGTACCAAAGGGACTTCTATGCGACGTACAGAATCTACAGATAGCGAAGCAAAAGCGTCAATAGCTAAAGCAGCTGGTGCACTTGATGAGAGGCCAACCAGCAAAGCTTCACCGGCATTATCCACAGACAACCAGTCCACACAGTCGCATGACGCGGAATGGCGTGCGTGGCGCGACGAATGGCAGAAATACAAGGACCTAGGTCGGGAACTTAAACATGCATCTGACCCGCTCGCAGATCAAGGAAAGTCAGGTGGTTCTCAAAGCAGAGATGCAAAACTCAGTGCCGCGACTGCTATTGAAGCTGTTCTTTGTTTCTCCCTTGCATTCATCGCGGACGATAAATCCAAATCCCTTAGTCGCCAAACCCGCCAGTCATCGAACTGGCACTCACTTATTCCCTACTGGCAGGCCGTTGCCCACCGCACGGCCGCATATCCCCACCTACATGGACTTTGTTTACTTCTAGGTGCTATAATCTATGAAGCTGTCCATACCCTTGACCTCGACCGCCTCGCTTCCATTGCGCTTCCGGGTGAACCTTCCAATAGCCACAATTCCAACCAGAAAAATAAGGCGGTCGCTCCCACCCCCGGCAGTGATGATGCGGACATTTCATCTCAACCTTCGACGCTAGCCCAGGACTCCAAGGTTATCCGGGAACTAATCGATCTCCGCAACCGTCTTCCTCAGTCCCACCGTGAGTCGAATCGCCTCTGGCTCGAAGGCTGTCGTCTACTCCCCGACGTTATACTTGCGCGCGAGTATCCTATGACGTGGCAACGACGGAGCCGGAACTTTGCCGAAAGAGGTAGAGAGGTGTTGAAGGTTGGGAAGTACAGTGGTGATTTTTTCCTGCCGATGCCAAGAAGTGGTGGTATGGCGCCGGGGACAGGGACGACAGGTGTGATTGAAGGCATCCGATTTGCCACGGTGTTTATGCGGGAGTGGTGTGAGAAAGAAGACGTTAGGTGGATTAATAAATTGAAGCTTTAGAAGTGGGAGGAGGAAAGGGAGGGATCTCTGCTGCTAAGATGGGTCTCTCTTCTTTGCATCTCTTTTTGAATCTAATATGGCTAAGTAGGTGCTTGGACCTAGGGAGGCATCTGTTTTTGTTTTCGTTGCAGTTGGACAGGCTTAAACTACATACCCCATCTGTCGTCATTTGCTTTTGTGATTGATTTTTATTTGTTTATAGCTACATGTTAGGTATTTGCCAGTGTGCCTGGAAGGGAGCATGTGTAGGTGTGTACGATTTATACGACTTGCTTTCCCTTTTTTTCTACCCTTATTTCTGCTACTGGTACCTCCCACGTCACAGACTTATATGTCGTTCATTAGGTCTTGACTTTGCCATCACTTGCCTGTCTTTGCATCTGTTGTCTTGTTTTGTTTTCATCTCCGCTCTTAAAACGATACCATGGACGACCCGGGGGAAGGGGTTGGTTTGTTTTTTTCTCGTCCGGCCTACACAGGAGTGCATATGGTGTGAATGGGTTGTGTGGTTTGACTTTTATGTAGAGGTAGAGAGAAAAAGATGCGGCAGTTAACTTAGGTGCTAGTTAATCAGAGGATCTATGAAGTGATTATACTCTATAGTTAACTTGTTACCTATGTATACGGAGTACATAGTATCAATTACTATCAATAGAGAAATGGTCCAAATGCCACCTCAGCTGAAGTATAAATAGGTATTGATAATGAGATAGCCAGTCCGAGTACCTGGAGTTGCTCAACCTCCTCTGAGGGAGGGGAAAAAAAGATAAAATAATGCACACCAAGGGGTCAGTCTCCACACCGAGACCCCCCCAATAGTTAACTAGGGGCAAAAGACCCGTCCCCAGAGCTCCCTAGCTCGCTAGCCAACCCCAATTAGGCCCGAGATATGGGCTTTTAGCAACATAGGTGCACGGCTCTGAAATTACCCAGCGAACCCATAGACAAAGAGCATCATATACAAACGCACATCCTTTCAAGGAAACTGCCGAGATCCGGTTTAACTAACCAATGGCAAAGTCGATTGTATTAACCTGAGCCTATTAATCGTGCAAAATTGGATTATCAAAAGGGGGCCTAGCTACATGTCTCCGAGCTGTGTCATTACTTTCTCAAGCCGTCTTTTTTTACCCCCCTGCCCATCCTCGATCTCTTACCTTGATCAAGGATTCTTGCTGTATGAGTAGGCACGTGCATAGAAGAAAAGGGCTTAACCCAGGTTGAAAAAGAAGAACCTTGCTCCTGTGCCCTCGAAGAAACGAAAGTTACTTTTTTTTTTCTCAAGAACAGAAAGAAAGGTAGTATCGAAAACCGCAGTACGCCTCTTCTATGTATCTCCTCAAAAAGAGGGGAGAAAAGGGGGGGGGGGGGGGGGGGGGGGGTGAAAAGGAAAAGAAAAGAAAAGGCAGTCCCCAAATATAAGTGAAGATTGGACTCCCTATCGCCATGATTTTTAGAGTCAACGGCGCCTTCTCCAAGCCATCTACACCTCCTCTCTGTGGCGTTCCCTTTCTCCTCCGAACAGCCACCCAGCTTCCCGGCAATACTTAACCTCCCTGCGTGTTGTCCCTACCTCTGTCGCCCAGCAAACCACCGCTGCATCCAAAACGCACGCCAATACCCCTTCCATCGCTGCTAACACTCCCCATCCAAGCGCCCCGGCGAGCATGCCCACAACGTACGCGTATAAGCTGCCACGGACGGTGCTGCTCCCATCAGATACTTGCAGCTTTCGAGCACTTGAGACCCAGCCTGCAAAGCCCAGTGCAAGCGACATTATAAAGCGCGTGGCATGGAGGAGGAGTTTGGCAAGGCGATACGGGACTAGTGTGGGTGCTTCGTGTCTGGAGTTGCTGGAGAACGAACGGGGATGGATGGTCGTTGCCGCGGATGAAGGTGCAAGGAAGGTGAGTTGGCTAAGAGTTCTAGCCGATGGAGTTAAGGGTTGAGTGAAAATAGAAGCGTAGGTCAATGTTAACGGGTTTGTCAAAGCCGCAATTGGCGTGGGGATGATCGAGTAGGCTGCCAGGGATAACAAGGAGGACAGACGTCGTGGCAGGATGATTAAAGGGAGACGGATGAGAAGGGAGAGGAACGTGGAGAGGCAAATGGTCCCAAACATTGTCGTCAAGGAAAACGAGAGCGCTGCAGGCACTATTTGGCGAGGGGTTATCGATGGAACCGCGAGGCGATGGAAATACCATTGGCTGACAGTGGCAGCGGTCACAGATCGTTGAATTCCGGCAATGACCCCGAGAGACCAGAGGTAGATCAGAATGAAGTATGCGCCTAACCACCAACTCTCAGGGTTGATTATAAATATAGACTTTGTCTTGCTCAAGTGGCCTCCAAGGAATACCCGAGTGAACATCAGAATCCATGCCCATGTCCACGCAGCAATGAGTGCCAGAGTCGCAAGGCCCACGATAAGCAACGGGGAGTTGGCGCTAAGGATCCGGCACGAAAATTCCAAGATGCTGATTGCCTTTCCAGTGGAATGGCGACCTTTGACCGCGGAATACACCCACGCCGTTGCCATGATCGCCGGAACCAACGATCCCCACCGCATCACTTTATCTTGCACGCTTGCACCATGCCACGAGCCTTTGAAACTAGAGACGAATGAATAGAGAGCAAATGAATATAATATGACCGGAACAGCAATTAACATTGCGTAAACCAACGGTCGAACGTATGATTTGAGAAGCGCAAGCCACAGCAGCGACACGAATATAGAAACGAGCGTATAGGTCCCGAGAAGATAGAAAGATGCGTGAAGGGTCGAATATATCGTATCACCAAGTCCGGGCTTTCCTGACGGCTCTGACGTATGAAGATATACCATCAACGACGACGCAAAAAGGCCGGCTAGAGATAGTAAAAACAAATGTCCCCAAAAAGCATCATGCATGGGAGGTTCTGCGTCGTACGCCACCGACCGTGGTGCCTCCGACTGCCCGGGGCTAGGGGGTTGAGGATGATCTAATAGAGTCTGCTTGTCTGTTTCGCGGGGTATGAATGACGAGCTGGCCTGAAAACTATCGTTTGCGAAGGGCGACCGTCGGAACTGCTGGACAGCCGGAGGATTGTCATCGTGAAATTCGGAGTGTAATCCATTGTCTAGGTTAACCATATCGTTTGGCACCGAATCTTCCAGGCGCACGTCAACCATTTTTCCTTTTCCTTTACTGCTCGCAGATCGCGCGTCGTCGTCTTCCTCCTTCTGCTCATGCAATGTTTCCACTCCTGTCCTCCGGGAAGGCTCGCCGCTGGCATTGCCTCCACGCCAGGAGCTTCTGATTCCCCTCCCTTGGCCAAAGCCATCTGCATGCTCGGTGCTATCGTTCCCTTCCTCCCCCCCTTCTAGCTCCGATGATTCCTCCATCTGGATGGCACCAAAGTTCCTCCGAGATCGCTGGAGAGCGAAGTAATCCGCTATCTCCCGCTCATGCTCTTGTTCATCATCCTCCTCCCGGAACTGATCGGTGGTGCTGTAGAAGAGTGGAGCTTGCGTGGAACCCCGACCGAAGGGAAGTTGTAGATGTGAGGAGCCGGCTTGGTTGTACGGGTTTCCCAGCCCACGGTTGAGGTAGGATCTCGAGGCTGGGAACCTTGAGAACGACTGGTTTGGCCGTCTCTGGCGGTCACGCGTGTTCTGAGCGCTATCGGGAGCGAAGCCAATCCTCGACTGGGACTGTGCAAGAAACCGTGACGCATCTAGACAAGAGGCTGGTTAACTCTTATATACAGGATGCCAAGTGGCCACAGGGTTGAAAGAGCTTACATTCTGAAAACATGGCGGTTCGAAGTCATTCACAAAAGTTTGAGGAAGAAGGTGAGGGTTCAGAGAGGAGCGGTCAATATTAGACTCTAGTTGAGAAACACCGGCTTACCCTCAGGCAGAGGTGAAAGAAAGGCTCAAATGGAAGAAAGGATTAAAGACAACACAGCCAAAGCCGAATTATGGGTCGGGGACGACAGGCAACAAAAAGGGCATTTCATGAGGTCGTAATTATATATATAGCGTGGTGGAGGGTAAGCTGGTGATGCTGGTGATGCAATGACTATAAGAGCCCAAGGAGAACGTAGGATGCAATGTGTAGGAGGATAAGGTGTCTGCCGGGACTTTCAAAAAGCGCCGTAGAATGTTCCTTTGGTGTTCTCCTGGCCTCCCAGACTCGAAGGAGGATCGTAGAGGCGGGAGAGCGAGAGAGAGCGAGAGAGCGAAGTGATGAGTGGGCGAAACGAGGTTGGATCGCGATTGACTGGCTGGCTGGCCGCTGATCAACCGCCCGAGTGAAGCAACTGACGGTGTGACAACGTCCATACAGTACCGTTACACTAGCGCCAGGTTTATCTTTGCGGTGAGGGTAACGCGCTAGGCGATGTTGGGACTGGTTCCGTGCAACGCAGTCATGTGCTCGTATGACCCATGACCGCTTTCGATACCGGCCGTTACAAGTGTGATATCATCATGTTATCGTAGCCAAAAAAGCAGACGCCAGCCGGAGAGCGTTCCCAGAGGCCAGGAGGCCGGTCAGGAGGAGCGCAGCTGCAGAGGGACCCTTCGACGCGAGGACATCTGCCTGGCAGGAGAGCGGGCGAGTCACACAGGCAGCAACAGCGGTGGCATTCACTAGCAGCAGCAGCGGAGCAGAGCGGGCCGCTGGTCGGGCCCATCCCTGCATTGTTACCCGGACTGAGTTCCGGCTGTGGCGGCAGGCGGCAAGGCCTAGAAGACTGGGCGGGCTTAACTGGAATTGGGTATCACAACACGCCTCCACAGCACCCCGGAAGAGCTATCAGAACCCGCCAAGTCAGGCACCCTTCACCACCCCCGAAAAGTCCCTCACAACCCTCAACTACTGAGCTCACGTCGCCATCCTCGTTCGCCAAAGCTTGCCTGCGTCAACTGGCTCCAACGGCCAGCAACACAGGAATTGGGCCAACCTTTCGTTCCTCCCCGCTTCCCTCTGGGATCTCAGCCTTTCGTCTTCCTGTGTCTGTGCATCCGTAGCCATCATTGCCAGGAAGATTCCAAAGCCGACTGGCCGTTCGTCTGCGGATTACCCGACCACCATTCTCACACACCCAAACAGCCTTCATGTCGCACCAGCCGCCATGGGACTACATCGCAAAGCTCGTCTGCATCGGTGACTCTGGTACCGGCAAATCCAGCGTACGCAGGTCCCTCAATGCCCGCATCCATAGCATCGCTTCTAACTCCCTAGATATAGCTGACAATCCGCCTCTGCGAAGGCCGCTTCACCACCACCCACGACGTCACCATCGGCGTCGAATTTGGTTCTCGCATCGTCCCCGTCGGCCCTCCAGCTAGCGACGAGCTCGACGACGATGAGGCTTCCCAATCCCAATTCCAACCGTCGCACATCCCCACTACCTCATTCCCCGAGACCCAAAACCCCAGCGCATCTAAACATTCCTCTCGGCCCTCTTCCTCCCCCAGCAACGCCAACCCGGACCCCTCTCCCCAGCACCTCTCCTCCGGCCTCCCACCACCTCCGCAGAAACCCAAATCCCAGGCCGCACCACCCGTCCAGAAACGCATGAAGCTCTCCCTCTGGGACACCGCTGGCCAAGAGACCTACAAATCAATCACGCGCTCCTACTTCCGCGGCGCTTCGGGCGCCCTCCTCGTCTTCGATATCACCCGCCCGCCCACCTTTTCCTCCCTCTCAGCATGGCTCCAGGACCTCCAGCAGATCGCCGAGGAAGGCATCGTCGTCGTGCTCGTCGGCAACAAGAGCGATCTTGTCAAGGACGCCGACCGTGAGCGCGGAGAAGGATACATCACCCGCGCCCAGGCTGAAGCCTGGTGCAGAGCTAACGGCGTGGTGCGATATGTGGAAACGAGCGCCAAGTCCGGTGAGAACGTAGAGCGAGCGTTTTTGGAGGTCGCAGAGCGGATATATAGGAATATCGAGGCTGGGAGATATGATCTGAATGACCGCCGCAGTGGGGTGAAAGGGTACGGGAGCACGAGCGGGTCGAGAAATGGTGGTGGGAAATTGCAGACGGTGACGTTGGGGGTAAACGACGCGATGGGGAGAGGTGGGACTGGATGGGCGGGAGGGTGTTGTTAAGAGACCAAAAATATTTATCTCGATCGAATACCCGTTATCGCGAGCTGACTGCTTTCTTTCGCCTTTGTTTCTATTTCGGTTCTGACTATTTTGTTATGGGGGACTGATGATATCCTCCACGAGCTGTCCTCTTCCTTTTTTTTTTTTTTCCCCTCTTTTCCAGGCATTTCTTTTCGAGGCCAGCGCGAAGCATGTCGGACTCATTGCATTTGTCTTTTTGGGTGGAGACTTTTTCTTTTACCAGTTTTATGATTCATGGGAGCCAGAACGTGGAATATAGCCATATATGTACTCCGCCCACTGTATATAATATTTAGTCGCACAAGCCCAAGGATATACCACCTCTGACTCCCTCGTTAATAATCTTTAAAACTTAGAAAGCGATATCAGTCTTATCCATGAGATAAGTATCCGGACTACTATCCCGATCATGCTGTTCAATATGGGGGAGAGTGCCATGAAAGACAACCGCGGTGAAACAGTAGCCAGCCCATAAGGCACACAGAACTCCTGTAAAATAAGATACATGGAAGTCAATTTGAATAGCGCAAGTTAGATTATACAAGACGGATTTCCATCTTTTCGAAAAATATCCATTCCTTTTTTTCCTCTTCCAATGTCATCTTTCTTGTTCTTTTTCCAGAGAACTGGCAGTAAATTGAGAAAAGAGAAAAGTCCCTCCATCCAAAATTAAAACCAAGGGAAATCTTCCAACCCGAGTCGTGTATTCCTGGAGTGGTATCTATTCATCAACATTAATTTTCCCAATCCGACAAACGTCCATGCATCTCTAAAGCACACAGAAGCTACAGCAGTAGCAGCTTAAGACGATGTCGGGTTAGCAATGCGCCAAGTGCTGAGCCAGTTGAGATACTGCCACTGCTCGTTTGATCCCTGCATTCCAAAGACAATGTCCTTGAATACAACAAAGAGGGAGATGACAGCGGCATATAGGACAAAGTAAACCGCCCATTCAGCCGGCTTGCTGAGATTTTGGGTGAACCAGTTGACGCAGAATCCCATTGTCAGAATCGCAAAGTAGAGTGCCGGATAGTAATGGTGCACATAGGTGACGCGGGCCATGATGATGAATGGAAGGTAGTGGAGAACCCATCCAAGGAGAGGATAGATACCAGAGTAATGGATGTGGTCTATATCTGCCTGACTCAGCTCGGTGTAACCGCGTTGCCAGCGGACGAGGTACCAGGCAACCACCAAGCCGAAGACAGCTAAGCTGGCTGTGCTGCCCCAATACACAAAAGGGTTGCCGAGGAGGAAGTATTTGACGGTGTCATTGTCCCACGAACACATGCGGAGCCCGACATTGAGAACAGGCCACTGCCACCACTTGGAAGCCAGATCATCCTGTTTATCTGGGTCGGGAACAAGAGCATTATTCGAAGTCATCATGGCAACATTCAGATGGATGAAATCTTTCAAGAATGGCGACTTGTAGGCACCAGGATCACCTTTCGGCACTAAAAAGGAGTCAGCAATGTAATTACTCGCTGGGATAGGGAAAAGTGGTAACATACGTCTCTCGTTGACGTGAGATTCAACATTCCAATGCGTGTGAACATCATAGGGCTTATTCTCCTTCACACAGGTGGTTTCAATCTGCTTGAAACCCCACTGAGGCAAATTAACATTGCCAGCACGTAAATAGCATCCTAGGCTAGAGTGGCGGAGGCGGAAAGCCGTAGTGAGGGTTCGGATCTTGGATCGATCTTTAGAAGCAACATCATTAACGACTTCCACTACCCAGTGGTCTTTGTCATCGCCAACAGTTGTGTTTCCATAACAAGAAACTTCCCAGCTGGACTTGGTGATTGGAGCGGGGATAGCATGAGAGTGTAAATTACGGCCGGTTTGGGCATGGATAAGGCGAATAATGTCACCGTCCCCGATAAATCTGAGTTCGCCCTCGGGATCATAATCGGGCTGAGTGCGGTTTGGATAAACGAACCAATCGTTATTCGAGTCCTTGTGGTGATAGCATGTAACTTGTTGTTGCGAAGAGCCCGAGGGATAGGTTTGAACGTGGGAATGAAGTAAACCACCACCATATCCCATGTTCTTTATGGTAACCTTGGATCCAATGGCAATCTCCAATGGGCTGTCCTTCCCGACAGTGGTTCCTCTCAGGTTCGCCTGGAAAAGTGAGCTCATCTGAGCATCGCCGGGGCCGGAGTTTTCGAGGACGAGGAAATGAATGTAGAAAGAGAACATGTATACGGCCAACGGCACAAGGATAAGTGCAATGATACGAGCCACAAGGTGTTGGGCAAGGACGGTCTATTCGATAGTTAGTAAAAGGCCGAAACAAAATCATAGGATAAGCTGGAAATAGCCCACCTTTGGCATTTTCAAGTCGCCGAACTTATTCCATAGATCCTCGATAGTGTAAAGTCCAACCAACGCAGTACAAAACAAGCCAACCATCTTCACGCTGCAGACACATCCGATGCTGATACCAGTCAAGAACAACCATATGAACCATTCGCATGAGAAGCTTTGGTTCTGAAATCGGTGGAATCGAGCCCAGCAAAAAACTGTTGTGAAGGTGAAGCACAAAAGCATCGAATCCAGGAGAATAAATCGAGAAATCGTTGCGTAGGAGTTTTCGAAGAGGACCATCAACGTAACAAGCCAGACGGTTGCCCGACGGAAATTGAGCTCTCGGGCGGTAAAGTAAGCTAATGGCACGCATACCACACCAAAAAACGCATTGAATATTCGCATGAAGGTATAATTGAGTTCCTCAGGGTACTTTTCGCCAGACTTGAATTCGAAAGATCCGTTATACCCGGCCAAATATCCAGAGAGACCAACAAGCATTTTACCCAGCGGAGGATGCACGTCGAAATAAAACTCCCGTTTGATATAGTGAGAACCGAACTTGCCAAAGCTTCGACAGCCATTAGCCTCTGATGGATCCGCAGTGATGACCGTATGCCATATTCCAATAGCAACTTACTGAGCCTCGTCCCATGTCACAATGTTCGACAGGCCAATGCGCCACATGCGAGTGAAGAATGCCAAAGCGGTAAATATTACTGGTGCAATAAGAAATTCCCACTCATCGAGGACGTCTAGGAAGGACGATTTCTACCAATTCCAACCAGTTAGCTAAAGGGGGCCCCATGCTTTTCAAACTTAGAGAATATCATGGCAAACTTGCCGTGAAGCTGGATATATGATTTGTAAAGCAATTCCTTCATACCTTTGCAAAAGCTTTCTTGCCATCCACCACAATCTCGGGTACACCAGACCCGCCATTGGCCTTCTCCGAACCGGGAACATTTCTCCTTCGAATGTCTGCGCTGGAAGACGCACCTGTAGCGAACGCAGTCTCATTGCTCGCCATGGTGCAAGGATGGAGAGAGTAAAAAAGAGTTGACACGCAGAAATCAAGAAATTAAACCAGAGTTGAGAAGATTAAAGGGTGAAACCAAGATTAGAGTCGTAGCATAAGCGGGAGTCGAATCGAAACGAGCGGACAATGAACCCACGCGGCTCATGAAAGATCTGGAATTACAAACGGGTAAATTCCAAACAAAGCAAGTTCCTCCGACCGAACCCTAATCGCCAAGGGTGAAGAGGAGGAGCTTTGCTGGAAAGAAGACAAGTCGGCGGAAGACTGCCTAAAAGCAGTGTTGGTTCATGTGAAGGGCAAGAGTTGGAAACGAAAAATAGGGGGCGACCGGTTGGGGCCAGATTGCCTCTCAGCCCGGGCCAAATTACAAAGAATGATAAGCGAAAGAATTCAAGGGGGTGAGAAGAGAGGAGAAAAAGCAGGTACTAATAAGAAAAGAAAAGGCCGGAGAATTAGAAGAAGCTCTGTTGAGAAGAGGTGAACGGCCGACGGGGTGGTGAAGCCTCGCTGGGATCAAGTTGCGTGGTCTCAGCGTGTCGCGGCCGACGCAGGCTTCCACGTGATTCTACCCGAAACCGCTGCGCAACGGCGAAGCCGACAGACGACGAACTCGCGGGGGATTGGATGGAACTGAGGTGCTGCGATTCACTACTTTTAGAGATGCAGAGTATCGCGACATGTAAAGTTTTAATAGATTCGGATCTTCATTCAAAAAACTAACGATATCAAACAAGCTCCGGCCAGCTCCAAACACCTATTCTACAGCGCTTCGATGACGGGATCCACGGGTCGGGGGCAACCTAAAATGAACTCTCTCAGAAACATGACAAGGCCATAGTAATCAGCAAAGAAATAATATAGCCTGCTCAAGTCTCAGTCCTGTCCAGCTCTAAGTCCCAAACCCACTGTAAATGGCCAACAATAAAGCAAACATCTGGCTGATATCCCCCCCCCCCCCCCCCAAAAAAAAAAAAATCATTAATATAAATCAGTTGTAAGTTTAAATCTATGCGGATTCACCATGTCTAGGCAATTGTATCGCCATTCCACCCCACGAAAACCCACTGGGACCTTGGAAAGAATTGTCAAGAGTAAAGAAAGAGAAAAGAAAAAGAAGGTGGCAATGAAAAGACAAATAAACAAGAAAAGTAGAAGAAATGAATTGCAAAGAGACGAATAATCTCGAAAATAGGAAATCCTTTGCTGCCAGGTGGATTGGCACGCTGTCTCAAAGACACCGATCTGAAACGCCAAAATAGCAGTCTAGTATTATACCATCTCTCATATCAGACCTCGTCCCAGAAAGTAAGAGGACAAAAGCGAAATGTTAAAAAGTCTCTGAATCCCACCTGAGCGAACCGCAACACAGCTCAGCGCGAGAGGAGTCGGAATTCTTTTTCATAGAACCTACATCCGCTTGCGGTGTAGTTCTCCGGCCTCCATATGTATGTGCCGGGAACACGCATTCAACATCAAGGCGAGAAAGCTCAGCCTTCTTCATCCTGACCAACTCTCCGATACTCGCCTTGATCGTCGTCGTCTTTCTTTCCTTGCCTTCCACGTCTGACCATATTGGATATCCATCCTCCAATTCCTTCCCTACTACCCGTTTCTTCCACGGATCTCCCAGTTTTAGCACTAGGGGTGGGGGGTTCAATGTTAAGGCCAGGGATGTCGTACTCGGGGGGAAGACGGCCATCTGGACCACGTCGGATATCAAGAGACGGCACAGGAGATCCAGGTCCCATCAGAGCATTGCGCTCAGCTGGAGTAACAGGGGTTGGCATTGCTGTAGTGGCATCTCCAAACAGGACATCCATATCTTCCAGACGGACACCACTTGTCTCCGGGTAAAGGAAATAGACTGGCAGGTCGAACGTTAGACGCACAAACAGAAAAAGGTCAGGTGATGGGAGCTATCTAACTTACCAACAACAAAACTGGTAGCGCAAAAGAAGGCGTGCATCAAATAAAGTCGCCACTGGATCACCTCTTGCAAAACAGGCGTAAGCTCCCCGACGAGCCAGTTGAATGCCCAGTTAGCTGCCGTACTCAAACTTGCACCTTTAGCACGAATACTTAGTGGTAGGATCTCTGGAGGATAAAGCCATGGAATGGGTCCCCAGGAAGCTCCAAAGGCGGCGTTATATATCATAACAAAAACAACGGTCAGGGTTGGCGTCGCTGGGATATCAAGGTAGATCCAGTAGGCAATGAGACTGAGCGAAATGATCATTGCGACGGCACCAGATAATAATATCGGGCGCCTGCCCCAGCGATCTACCAAGTACCACGGGGGGATGGTCGAGCCTAGATAAGAAATTGCGTTTATGCCAGTCATCAAGATGGCATTTCGACCGACCCAGCCGGCAGATTCGAATACAAGCGGCGCATAGTACGAAATAACGTTGATACCGTTTAGCTGTGCGAAAGCCTGAGCCGACATCGCAATGAAAACACGCTTATAATAACGACGGAACATATCCGCATAGCTCCGCTCGCCTTCTTGACGCTGAATCAAAACATCCATTTTGATGTCGCGATATTCCTGGCGAGCTTTGTCGTTGTGGATATCACCTCCTCCATACAGGTTGGCAATCACAACCATTCCTTCTTCATCATGATCATTGTCTAAGAGCCATCTAAGAAAAAGTTAGCCATCAAAAGTTACTTCAGGATGGAAGGGAGGGTTTGGAATAAGTACCGAGGCGATTCGCAAATAATAAGACTACCAACTCCTAGAAGAGTTCCCATCACGCATTGAAGGAATAACGGAATCCGCCAAGAATAGTGGCTATTGATAAAACTGCAAAAGTAATCTACCCAAACGCTAGCAGCATAGCCGCAGATATTTCCCGTGAATTCGATGCAGGCGAGCTGTCCACGGTTGTGGGGAGGTGAGATCTCGGATTGGTAAACGGGAACAATAGTGGACAGTGCTCCAACCCCAAGACCAGCCACGATACGGCCGACCAACATCATTGGGATTCCTGTAGCAAAGGTCTGAAAAGCACCACCGATGAAAAAGACGATAGACCCGTAAAGAATAGTCTTCCTTCGGCCTATGATGTCACCGACTTTTCCAACACAAAGCGACGAAATGAAAGCTCCGACTTCTAGAATAGCGACCATAGTCCCAATCTCCGCCCGCGTCGGTTGGTTAAAGTAGTCCTTGAAGAATGGGCCTCTAATCGGGTTGTTAATACGGTGAACACACGCCAGGATCAAGAGGAGCGTAGAGCAAGGAGATCAACATACGTGATAATGCCCGACATAACGCCTTGGTCATAGCCGAATAAGAAAACACCTAATGATACAAAAACACTTGTGAAATATCTACACTATAATATTAGTTCAACTACCAGAATGAAGCCAGTACAACTTAGACAATAAGGAGGGAGCATACAAGAGAGGCTTGCCCACCAGCCCATGCATTTGGGCTGTCCGCCTGTTTCCCGGCGACATGATGGAAGCTAGAACCGTTTCGACTCGGGATGGTTTCCGGGGGGGAGGTTCCGGGACGCGAATAGCCTCCTTAGAAATTCCGCTGTCGCCAAGGACGTCCCGCTCCTCCTCTTGCTCCGAGTAGTGAACTCTTCTAGACCGAGAACGTTTCGAACGCGCGCCAGTTCGACTGAATGCCTGTTGATCGAGGGATTTTCGAAGCTGGATGTGTAGGGGATCTTCTTCGCTGGCGAGTTGCTCCGCTAGATCACCAGTATCGGACCAGACTGAAAAGGTTGATTCTGAAGGGGTGGAAGGTGGTGGTGGAGAGGACGAAGGAGACCTCCGGGCGCCCTGTTTCTCGCGAGAGTCGTCGAGTAGCGAGGATGAGAATTCAGAGGAGGGCCGGGAATTAGAGGTGAAGGACCGGAGGGGGATTGAAGCGGAGGAGTCTGGTGGGTTTGAGGAAGAAATGGTGGCGGTCGTGCCGGGCTGAGCGAGGCAGCCCTATCGTGATCAGAAATTCGGAACTGAAGTCGGGGAGGGCAAAAAAGGGGATAGAGGCTGTATCACAGGTGACCAGGTGGTGGAGTCTCCCGGAGGTGCATGGGTGAGTTTGCCCGTGGAAGCACAGATGAGGAGAAGAGACGAGGTAGCATCCCACGGGGAGTGGACGAGGTGATCGGTTGACTCTGCAAAGCCGTCGGGATAGGCTGCCAAAGGTGCTTGGTCGTGCAGACGCTGAAGGGTGAGGTGGACGTTGTTTGGACCAGTCGTGGTCATGTGCTGGGGTTAGTGCAGGACCAAATTATTTCCGTCTGAACAGTCGGGGGTTCACTCCACAGCGCTGCCGCGGAAAGGAGGGCTAAGCTGAAATGAACTGCGACGATATGACGTTGATCTTCAGCTTAGTGAATCTTGTCCCCCATGGGTCCGGAGAAGGGGAAAGTTGACAAGGGCGTTTTCATTATGTATTTGTTTACTCCCAACTGCCGCCTTCTGTCGCTACATCTACGTCGCCCCCCAGCGGCTCTCTATTTATACACCATGTCCCCCTATATTTCCGCGACCGCCCAATATCTTCCCCCCGTTTTCGACCATCTGCAGAAACTTCCACGCTTGCTAATTGCAGCACAAAGCCGAGCCCGATTCGAAGAAATTTTGAATTTTGCATTTGGGTTCGTTAGTAAGCCGTGCCGCCCACTCGCAGCGTCCAATGAAGGCCGCCGCCTGCGCCCCGTCGGGGTGATGTGGAGTCCTGCGACGACTTGATCAGCAGATGGCACGCGGATGACGGCTCGAATCCGTGCGAGGCGAAATCGCAGACTGCCTGTGTGTTCACTTTCATCAAATGTATATGATATTGTGGCGCTACCGCTGCCATGCTCTTTGTCTATGAGAGATATCTAGCAAAACTACAACAACGGGTATGTAGTATGCACAAAGATTGCACCACGCAAAAGCAACCTGAGAAAAACCAATATGCACATCTAAACGTGGCTTCGAAAATGTCGAAACGCTCGAACAACGGTGTCACATCCATCCAACATTTAAACGCCCCTTGCGATCGAGATCAAAGAGAAACTACCTTTCGGGCCGTTGTGAGCAAAATGCCAGGAAATCGGGCCTGGCCGGCCCGCCTACGCCAGAAGAATGTCATATCCATCCTTTTTGATGTGAACGGCTTCCGTGGGGAGCCCATACTTGCGACGCACCAGCTCGAAGATCACGAGGCCGGCGCTAGTGCTGGGCACCTGACGAATTGTATTCCACAAGAACCCACGATACAGCCAAACCCTCCAGCTTCCGACCCGCTGTGCTTTCCGTTGACAGCGCTCAAAGGTCTCTCGATACGCATCGAAGCGATCTCTCATCCAGGCGCGTCTCGACTGGTTCTGGCTCAGTTTGTCATCGAGGTGTTCCAACCGTCTGTAATACACATTGTGAATTAGCCCAAGCGGGTGTAACACAACCTGCTGCCCGATCGAGGCTGTTGCGCCGGCGAGCATCAGAAAGCACGGTTCCAGCGCGTAGTGCGGCTTGATGACTGGATTCTCGCTCGAAGAGTTTGCAAGTGTTGACAGCCTTTCCACCGCAGGGGGTTGGAGAGAGCCATAGTAACGTGTCACAAAGGAGTAATATCCCTGGGACTTGATTGTTTCAAACAAACAAAAGAACAGAGCCGAGCCGCAACTGTCTTTCAGAAAAGATAGCGTCCACCCGGAGAATATCCCCCGCATTCCGAGTTTGCTAAGTTTATTCTTCCAATAGTGCCACGCACTCCGGTGCTGACCATTGAGCATTTCGTCCGATCTGAAGCGCGCCTGGATAGCATCCAACGGCGCAGCGACGACCGACTGGACTGTGCCCGCCGCAAAACCAGCTAGAAATGTGTCGACGGGGGACGGCGGTGGGTAAATGCGTCTATTAGCCATCAAGGCGGGCCCGTGTAGGTTGTTGAGGATCTGAAGGTAGGATGTATACAGGACTGCTCCAACACTATGATAAAGTCGTCCGTTAGCACCTATTATGCTCGTTGGGCTATAAGGACCATAGATATGGGGATACGAGTACCTAACGTTTGCGATCAGAGGCGGCAGGACCTGATATGGAATAAAAGTCCAGCCGTACGTGCGGACCGCGTGAGCTAATAAGCCTGGAGTAGTAGTTTTCCAGGACCAACTGCCGCCTTGAGCAAGTCGAGGGTTGATGGCCCTGGCAAGCACCTACGGCGCTCAGCGCATGTCACAATCCCAATGATAGAAAAGCAGCATACCATATAACTGCAAGCAAATATCTATTAGCTATATACCCCTAGAACTCTGCCATACTAAATACATACTCCACGCGGGTGCGAAAGAAGGCTTTAACGGGTGCCCGAAAGTAAAATGCTACGGCCTGCGCACTAAGCGCTCGAACGCCGGCGGCGGAAGCTCCGGTGGCGGCATTTGTTCGTGGGTTTCGGCGTCCACTTCCCTCGGAATCAGCGTCCGAGGATAGGTCGGTTTCGAAAGAGAGCTGAGAAGGGTCATCGGTAGGAAAGGACATAACTTTGCGCCCAAACGAAAGACGAGTGCTCCATCAGCAGTGAACGGCGGAGAAGCGGAAATCCATGGAACTGTGAAACGAGTTGGGCATTTGATACAAAAAAGAGTGCATAATACAGAAGAACACCGGTGAATATTAGACCATGAACACAGCTCTCCCGTGATGCCGTGAAAGATATCCCGCTGGCTGTCGTCGGGAGAGATTTCTTCTATGGTGCCTGCCGCCCGCCAAACTCGGTTCTGCCGGAGAAGTCAAACAAGACAAACAACATGCTTATGTCATTAATCAATTTATTATATAATCTGACGTGTCGCGCTAGGCCGCATGCGGCTAGAGTCGAGCAACGCGTTGAGAGCTTTCCGTTCCATCAGGGCGTGAGCGCATCGCCTGGGAGAGCTGCAATTTCTTCTCCAATCTTCATTCAGCATTGCACCTGGCATCCACCTCCGTTGAATCCACAATTGTTCTGTTTAATTAGCATTAAATCATCGTTTTCTTTGTGGCCCGTCTCCATTTGCACTTTCCAATATCTTAATATCCCCTCCCCCCGGAACTGCGCCCGGGCTCAACCCCCGATATGGGAAGCGATACCAAAATCGACAAGGCTGCATTTTCCAACCGCCTATCAACCCTCTATTCAGCATGGAGGGCAGACAAGCGATCCGCCAACCCACTATTCGGCGGTGCCACTTCCATTGTCATTCTGACCGGCAAAACTGAAGATACAAATTCGTTCCAAAAGAGTAATGCGATGCATGTAAGTAGCACTGGAGTGACGTTGATGAAAGCCCCGTCTGACGGTATTCAGTTTTGGCTTTTAGGTTATGAGTTCCCTTCGACGCTTTGTGTATTCACCACAGAGGCGATGTATGTTGTGACTACGGCGGCGAAAGGTGTGGAAGAGCCCTGATTGTGTTCAGCAAAATGAAGCGAATCTAACATCTCAAAGCAAAATTCCTGGAGCCTCTTAAGGGTGGAAAAATCCCTGTGGAGCTTTTGATATGCTCAAAGGATCCTGAGACGAAAATCAAGGCATTTGAAAAATGCCTAGATGTAATTAAAAGCTCCGGCGTAAGTCAATTATCCGACCCAGAACACTCTTTTGAAACCAAGTTGCTAATATCCGTGTAGGACAAAGTTGGCACTCTATCTAAAGACACATCGTCTGGTCCCTTTGCCGATGAATGGAAGCGCACGTTTTCCGAAACGCTTAAAACTATCGAGGAGGTGGATATCGCACCAGCGCTTTCGAGCGTCTGTTTCTCCATTAAATCGCAGGAAGAACTAGTGGGTGACGGTTTTGCTCTAGTAGTATGGTGGAATTCAACTAAATCCTAAATTTCTAGATCCTAATGCGGAACGCTTCACGCGCTTGCAGCGGACTTATGTCGAAGTATTTTGTGGAAGAGATGTCCCAGCTTTTAGATGAAGAGAAGAAAATGAGCCACCAAGCATTCGCTGCAAAGGTGGAGGCAAAAATAGACGACTCGAAATTCTTCACTAAGCTCGCAAAACTACCGGCCGGATTTGATCCTGACCAGATTGACTGGGCGTATGGACCGATCATTCAGAGCGGCGGAAAGTATGACCTGAAGTTTTCTGCCACAAGTGACTCCAATAACCTACAGGCTGGTATTATCATTGCTACCTTTGGCATTCGGTACCAGACATATGCTTCCGCAATCGGACGTACTTTTCTTGTCGATCCGACGAAGTCCCAAGAAAGCAGCTACAGTTTCTTACTCAGTGTCTATGACAACGTTATGAAAGATATTCGTGACGGAGCGATGGTGAAGGATATTTATAACAAAGCTCTTGGGATGGTCAGGGCCAAAAAACCTGATTTGGAAAAGCACTTTGTTAAAAACATTGGTGCCGGCATTGGTATCGAACTACGAGACAGTAACATGGTGCTAAATGGCAAGAATACCAAAACTTTGAGGAGCGGAATGACCCTGCGTGTTTCAATTGGTTTTACCGATGTTGCAGATCCCGGTGCAAAAGAACAAAAAGACCGGCTCTATTCCATGGTTATCACTGATACAGTACGTGTCGGTGAGAGCGGACCTCACATCTTCACAAAAGATGCCGGGATTGACTTAGACTCGGTGTCTTTTTACTTCGGCGATGAGGAAGAGGAGGAGGAAAGGCCGAAGAAATCCAAAAATGAGCCTTACAAATCAAGCGCAATTGCAAGCAAAAACATAACAAAAACCAAACTGCGAGCAGAACGACCTACACAAGTCAGTGAAGGTGCAGAAGCACGGAGACGGGAACATCAAAAGGAACTGGCTGCGAAAAAGACCAAAGAAGGCCTTGAACGGTTCGCAGGCACCACTGGTGACCAGAATGGAGTCACGCAGAAAAACTTCAAGCGCTTCGAATCCTACAAACGAGACAGTCAATTGCCTACCAGAGTAAAGGATTTGGCTATCTACGTTGACCCTAAAGCATCCTCAATTATTGTCCCTATCATGGGTCGGCCCGTCCCTTTTCACATAAATACTATTAAAAACGCCAGCAAAAGCGATGAAGGTGAATATGCCTATCTACGCATTAACTTCTTGTCTCCTGGCCAAGGAGTTGGTCGGAAGGATGACCAACCCTTCGAGGATCCATCTGCCCACTTTCTGAGAAACTTGACCTTGAGGTCCAAAGATAAAGACCGACTAGGCCGAGTTGCGCAAGATATCACTGAGCTTAGAAAAAATGCTTTGCGAAGAGAGCAGGTGAAGAAGGAGATGGAGGATGTCGTTGAGCAAGATAAGCTCGTTGAAATCCGAAGTATGTCTAATTTATGTCCTTATGATGAGATTAGTATGCTAACATTTTTTAGACCGCCGCCCCATCAAATTACCAGACGTCTATCTTCGACCAGCTCTGGATGGCAAGAGGGTTCCAGGAGAGGTTGAGATACACCAAAACGGTCTCCGCTATCTCTCACCCTTGCGAAGCGAGCATGTCGATGTCCTCTTTAGCAATGTGAAACATTTGTTCTTCCAACCGTGTGCACACGAAATGATCGTGCTTATCCATGTTCATCTCAAGACCCCAATCATGATTGGCAAACGCAAGACCAGAGAGGTACAATTCTACCGTGAAGCCACGGAGATGCAATTCGACGAAACCGGCAACCGTCGAAGAAAGCATCGATATGGTGACGAAGAAGAATTTGAGGCTGAACAGGAAGAAAGAAGACGCAGGGCTGCCTTAGACCGAGAGTTCAAGGCTTTTGCTGAAAAAATTTCCGATGCTGGCAAAGACGAAGGTGTTGATGTCGATATTCCTTTCAGAGAAATCGGGTTCACCGGAGTACCCAATAGATCAAATGTTTTGATACAGCCAACAACTGATGCTGTTGTTCAGCTAACTGAACCTCCTTTCCTGGTTGTAACCCTGAACGAAATTGAGGTGGCACACTTGGAGCGCGTTCAGGTAAGTTATCCTCACTATAAGGACATAATTTTGCTTCACGCAGTGTCTAATTCCAATTACAGTTCGGCTTGAAAAATTTCGATCTTGTGTTTGTATTCAAGGACTTCCATCGACCTCCCGTTCATATCAATACCATCCCTGTTGAAAATCTTGAAGGTGTCAAGGATTGGCTTGACTCTGTCGACATTGCTTTCACTGAAGGACCTCTCAATCTTAACTGGAGCGCTATCATGAAAACCGTCACCAGTGATCCACATGGGTTCTTCCGTGACGGTGGCTGGTCCTTCTTGGCCACGGAGTCTGACTCTGAGGAGGAGGAGGAAGACGAGGAATCCGCTTTCGAGATGGACGAGTCAGAACTTGATGAATCCGAAGAAAGCTCTGAAGAGGAGAGTGAGTTTGATGATGACGCTAGTGCTTCGGCTAGCGAGGGTATCAGCGGAGAAGATGACGATGAAGGCGAGGATTGGGATGAGTTAGAGACAAAGGCGAAGAAGAAAGATGCTGAAAGCAGATTGGACGATAGGGAATCCGGAAAGAAGCGAAAACGCTGAGTTTGCCACAGCCTCCTTCGCCCCTAGCATGTTCATTCGCTTCTAGTATTTTAACCTGTGCGCTGAGAGACTCGATTTTCTCCACCCCCCGGATACTTCTTTGTATCATCCGTCCCCTTTCCCCGGTCTAATGTTCATATCAAATGTATTTTATCCTGAAATCTGCGTTATTTCCTTTTCGTCATCCTTCGGAATATTCCCCGTCAAGGGTGGCCTTATGCCTTCATTTCTCCTCCTTGCACTGCTTTTGTCATCGGTTTAGGAGGAAAGGAAACAGGGAAAAAAGAAAGGGAATTTGGACTATGTACGTACGGGATAGTTAGCTCATGCGCCGAAATCTCGATATCGAGGTTACATATCCCCGAGATCGAGCCCTTTTACCCCGTAGTACCATGCATCTTGAGATCATTTCTTTCTTCACGAGATCTTGTTTGTTGATGCTGGGTGGTGGTTGGGCGTGAATACGGGGAAGACCCGCCATCGGTCCCCCGAGAGCTCATCTTAATTCTCAAATCGGCTCGAGCTGATTATAGTTCAAATCAGCTCGTCGCTTTTCCACGGGCTAATACAAACAACGAAGAGTACAAAAAGTACCCCAGCACAACCGCCCGCTTTTCAACTCCTCAGCATTCCCCCTCCCTCCCTCGCCAGAAAGGCGCCACGAAGCATGGTAGAGTCCATGATAGAGCGACGGCAGGGACCTGTCAAAGATCCTAGTCATGAACGGCCTATACGAGCTTCCAAGGATCCTGTGAAACAACTATCACCCTTGCTGGTAGCATGTTGTACTTGACTTGATGCCATTTTCCCCGGACGAGGAGAAATTTAGGAAGGTCGAGCCTCCGTGAGGGAGATTCACGGACATTAGTCGCCTCTTCTTCGCTGGGGCTCAGCTACCCATGGAAAGAGTGGGCGATGAAACGGTGGTGGAATCCGCTCAGAAACCCTCGAAGAGGTCTATTGCACCGTTGTTATATTGAGAGTTTGGGACATAAGCCACCAGAATCGGAA